ACTAGGAGAAGGGACACAGAAGGACAACCTATTTTTGTCACAGCTGCTGAATTGCTCGGGCGCCTCGTAGCTCCACCTGAGCCCTCATTTCTTCCTTTGCAAATTCATTCATTCCTTCATTCGTGTATTCATTCCAATATGTGACAGGCTTGTGCTGTAAAGTACCATTTTTGAACCACTCGACTGTTAATGGATCCTCTTAGGTATAAGGTTTAAGGTCTTTCTTGCTCACTGCTATACCCCCCAGCAGTGGCTGCGGAGCCTGACGCACGGAAGCCATGTTATTAGCTGCCCGTGGATGATGAATGGATGGTGATTCTGGTTTTTGTATTCGGTGAAGACATTTATCCTTACTCAGAGTTCAAGTTCCCACCCTTTTCAGGTTCCCTGGCTCCACCTTCCCTTATCCCCACATGCCGACCAAGCCTTTCTGAGCCCATGAAGTAAAATGTGCTCTAAGCCAGAATCCTAAGAGTGGGATTAAAAAATAAATGGAAGTGTATCAAAACAAGTAATCACAAGGAATGGCTTTTCAGGGGAATGAGGTGTCAGCACCGGAGGCCAAGGGCAGAGCGCCAGACTCCGACTGCCACGCACTCCTATCCACCCCACTGCTGTGCTGGGCAGAGAACCCACTGGGCCTGCCCAGGAGGTCGCAGATGGCCTGGCTTGGGCCCTGCTCGGCTCTCCATCACTTTGAGACAACAGGCAAGACCCCCACACAGGTCAGGGGGGACAGATTTTAATTCCAGCCCTGTTGCTTACCTGTGGGGGGATCCTGGGAAAATCCACGCCTCTTCCAGTGTCAGTTTCCTCATCTGTAAAAAAGGGGCTACAGATAGGATCCATCTGGAATCATCCATAAAATGCAGGTAACAACGGCACTTCCTCGTACCCACAGGTTCCTGTCCCAGCTCACAGCCCCCTTAGCATCTCAGTAATTTTTTTCACAGTGCATCAGGCCCAAAGAAATACTTAACAGTTATTTACTAAGCAATTAGTTTTAAACAACTTAATCATTGTAGTTTGCACAGTACCCAGCAGATGTTATTGTGTTTCCCTCGAAATTTTAAAATATTGTGCGGCACCTCTGTGAGAATTCCGCCTTGCCTCAGGGTGCCGTGGCACATGATCCGGGAACTGCGGCCACACGGGTTTGAAGAGGAAAGGAAGTTATGTATGGCAAGGGCTTAGCATGATGCCCGGTCTGGAGTAGGAGATAAATAAATGTTGGTTGTCCTGCATGGTCCTTCAAGTCTCTAGTTCTTTCAGGGACTTCTGCCACTGCCACTCAGCCATCCGTCCTGTCCCCACTCCTGCCACCTGCTGATTTCTTCTGGCTGTCTTCTCTCTGGGCCCTCCAGGCCTGTGGCCCCACTTCTGAACTAACTTCCTTCTTGGTGCAGAATTGCTGGTTCACTCCTTCACCCCTCCCCAACTCCACGAATTTGACATGACCTCTTCCTAGGGGCATGTACATCCCTGCCCCTTAACTTCAGGATTGGTACCTGTGAAAGTGACAGTGTGACAGTTACGAGCGAATGCCTTAAGAGTCCTCATGTGGTTCCACTCACTCTCTTATCCTTTGTCAATGTGAAGGGAAGAACACGCCCCCGTGGCCCAGTGACTCCAGCAGGAGGACGAGAGACCCGTGAGTGAGGCTCAAATCTGCAGATCTCAAGTTTGACACATTCCGTCCCTGCCAACCCACAAACTCAAAAGTGAAAATAAGCGGTTGTTTGAAAGTATGGAGTTTTGGAGAGGCTTGTTCCAGGGTGCCCTTCTGGCAATCCAACCTCTGCGTCTGTGGCAAATTCACCACACTCTCCAAGAGAAGATCTGATTGGTCGTGCAGGCACCACCCGGAACACAGTTCCTTTCACACCAGTGACCCCAGGCTGAGGAGCTCCTCCCTGCCCAGTCTGTAGATGACCAAGATGACTGCTGTGGACAGGGGCACCCATCTCTGATCCAGGCAGTTGCCCCGTAATGACAAGATCGTGTGCCATGGAGCCTGGTGACCCGCTGAGAAGAAATTATTTCTGGCCCCTGTGTGCCAAAGGCGTGTGAATGTGGCAGGTGAGAGTTTCTCAGATCCTCTTCAGTTCTAAAGGGTGACAGCTGCCCTGGCTGGTGAGGCTCCGTTGGTTGGAGCAGCATCCCGTAGACCACAGGGGGCAAACACAAGGCCCGAGGGCCGAATCAGGCCTCCACCTTGTTTCATCCAGCCTGGCTCCTTGTTTTCACCCTGCGGCAACACCAGGCTCTCTCACTTAACAGTCAAGGAGTAGTCACACTTACGCAGTCCTAAATTACAATCAGCCCTTTGAAAGCAACTGGGAGGCTGATGTGGCCCCCGGTGAGAATGAGTTTGACGCTCCTGTCGTGGACCAAAAGGTTGTGGGTTTGATTTCAGGTCAGGGCACGTGACCAGGTTGGTGTTGCGATCCCTGGTCGGGGTGTGTACAAGAAGACAACCTATTGATGCTTCTCTCTCACATTCATGTTTCTCTCTCTCCATTCTCTCCATCTAAAAAAAAAAAAAAAAACAATTGAAAAAATGTCCTCAGATAAAGATTTAAAAAAAAGAAAGAAGTTTGGGGGGAAAAAAGAGTGGCAGCTGGACAAGGAGAAATTGCAAATAGAATTTTCTCTGCGTGTGGCTGTCAGGATGCATCTCAGGCTGGAAGCCCTAGTGTACAGGAAATATGACACTTCTTACGACTCAATTTAGCAACTCCTTTGAGCCTCGTTATGCCAAAGACAGAAAGGACAAGGTCTAAGTTCACGCAGAAAGTTGGGTGGAGCTGGGTGAGAACCCAGGTGTCCTGGCTTCTTACCCAACACCCCTTGCAGCCCAGTCCCTCTCACACTTGGAAGCAGCCCCAGGCCCCACTGCTGAGCAGCAAAGCCCCTACTCCAGCCTCCCTGATCGTCTGGGCTGTGCTTCCGCACTGCACTGAGTGCCCACCGCTTGGAAGATTTCCAAGCAACGCTTGCCTCCTACTGAGTCCCAATCTGCCTCCCTGCGTCCTGTACCTACTGCCCTGGCTCTATATTCCAGAGCTACACTCAATGTGCACTTTTTTCTTTAATTCATAAACATTTGCTACAGTTTGTACTTCTATAAATTCTATTTATTTCTTTTTCAAATCTGCCTTTTTACTGAGGTGTAATTGACATGAGCTCTCTATTAGTTTCCAGTGTATGACAGAGTGATTTGATGTTTGCATGTATTGCAGCATGATCGCCACAATAAATGCAGTTACCATCCATCACCACACATGTTACAGGGTATTTGTTTCCTGTGATGAGAACTTTGGAGAGTTACTCACTCAGCAACTTCCAACATGCAACACAGCACTGTTAACCACAGTCGTCACACTGGGTGTCCGGGTGTTGCACCCCCATTACTTATTTATTTTATAACCAAGTTTGCACCTTTTCACTCTCTTTTCCCATGTCACCCCCCACCCCGCCCACCTCTGGCAACCACCAGTCTCTCAAGTCTGCCTTTTAAAAATAGTGTCTTTATTCTTACATTTTTTATTTCTTTTTGTATGACTTTGATTTTTTAATCCTTTTCAAAATACTTTGTTAACCTCATCGGAAGTTCTTTGGGGAGGAGGGGTCTGACCCTGCTGTTGAACATGTCTGCGGACTCCCACTTACGGTGGGTTGTTTCTTTGTGTGTTTTGTAACTTTGGATTGTGATTCCTCTTCAGGGAAGTTTTATCCACGGGCAGCTTGGTAGCCTGGGTTCAGAGCAGCCCCTCCAGAATGGTTTACACTTGTTTTGTGGGTCACCTCACCTCTTTATCTGAGATCACTCTGTTAAGTTTAGTTTGGGGTTCCTAGCTCATGTGGATAAAATAAAAAGTCGTCACGAATCTACATGAGCATAAGTCTTCCTTATTTTCATCATAACATCAATTTGATTATTGTTCGTGTTTGTCCCCTCTGATGCCGGCCCTGGGAAAGCAGAACATGAGTCTCTGATTTCGAGCGATCGCTCCGGTGCCTTCAGCAGAACTCGACGCACAGTAGGCACTCAGTGTTTGCTGAAGGAGAGAATGAAGGCACATCCACTTCAGAGTGTGTCGTGAAGGGCACGTGGTGTGTCAGTTATTAGGGCTGTGTTCGCTCGTTAGAAATGCGGTTTATGTACATGAACAGCAATTAAAATACAAGAAAAGAAATGAGGTTTATTGTCTCACAAAACAGGCAAACGCTCAATTCTGTGAGGCAGGGGTTTCAAAAGCCTGGGCGATTTTCCTGTCTCAGGGTTGCAAGATGGTTACTGTAGCTCCAGGCATCACGTCCACATTCAAGGCAGAAGGATGGGGAAGAAAGTGGGAACAAAGGGGGAGCATCACTGACATTCTTCCTTGTATCAGCAGGGTGAACGTTTTCCTAGAGGTCAAATGGTAAATTTCTGTTTTGATCTCATTTGCTGGAAATGGGGTGGCTGGGCACCCCAGAAGCAGGGGGACTTGGAGAGCGAGCACCTTTATCTAGACTGTATGGATAGGTGTGGAAGAAAGGGAGGGGGTTGGGGACACAGGTGGAATAGATGGGGTATTTGTCCCAGATGACTCTACACATGTATATATCAAATATATTGTCATATATGACACATATTATATAATAAGTAACGAATGAGGTTTTACATATAAACAATAGACATATATACTTTATAGAGAGAGATTATAGGTACATGTACCCTACAGCCCTCAGAAGGGGACACCTGTCCTTATGACAATTACTGCTCTTATGACACCAAGCTTTGCAGTCTCTGTGATTCTACTGATGTCAGACCCTGGATCCCGGAACTCACAGGCACGGAGGCACCGATATCCGGGTGGTCTCCCTCCAGCCCTCCCTCCTTTTTCACTTCAGAGCACTGACGCCCTTTAAAAAAGAATCAACCTACATTTTCCAATGCGAGCCACTTCCTGATCTCATTAACTTCATCCTCGGTGACTTGGCCAGAGCCTGCTTCCAGCTCGCAGCAGGCGGGAGACGTGTAAGTCAAAGGTCCCTCAGCCCCATCTCCGGGTCAGCATCAAGGTCTCTCCAAGGACACTGAGATGAAGACAGCAGAGGAGCCAGCCCCGAATCTTGGGCAGACCCTGGAGTGGCTGAGAAAGGAACTGGTAAGGCTTCGCGTTTCTTTTTACCTGATGCCTGCACCCCAAATATCCTAAGGTCTGTTGGTGTCCCCTCCCCAGGTGCCCCACTGGCTGGGACAGAGACGGCAGGCTGGGGCGTAGGCCCTGCAGGCACCCCCTGGGGCCAGCCACGCAGTGCACAATTGCCATCTCAGGTGCAGGGATAAGTAGGTCATGGCCTACATAGGCGGCTCTGGGGGCAGTGCTTGCCAGACTGGTTCTAGAATATACTGAATCCTGGGTATGGGCCCGCCTCTGCCGCCAAGTGGCTCCTAGCAAGGGGCTTTCCCTCTTCGAGCCTCAGTTTCCTTGTGTAAGGCGGGGATAACAGTAGTGTCAACACTGCAGGGGTTACTGTGGGAATTCGGGGAGGAGATGTAATTCACTCGGTGTTGCCTGCTTGGCATATCTACGCAGGCTATTCCAGTCCTGACCCGGGTGGGCCTGGAGTACACTCACGTCTTAGCCTGGGTGTACAGCGGGTCCAGCCGGTCAGGACTGTAAACGGAGGCTCAGGCTCGCACACAGAGTGGGGAACTAAGGATTTACTTGGAGGTGCAAGCCCAGAGCAGTGAGAGTGAGGGAAAAAGCAAGTGGAGACAGAAGCTGAGGCTGTGGGAGGTGAGACATGCACTGGGTTACCAAGCTGACAGCCACTTCAGAAGGAGTCTTGAGGAGGCCCAGCGGATGGATCTCTCAGGAGTGGGCTTATCTGGCTGCAGGTTTTCTCTGCAGGGGTTGAGGGATGAGCTGCACCCCGGGGGAGAGAGAAAGAAGAAGAGAGGTATCTGCCCAGCTAACCCGGGTCTCCCACTGCCCGATGGTGAAGGTCCGCCCAGGGGCGCTAACTCTCCTGAACTGAACTCTCCACATTCTGTTTCTTCATCTCTCGGTGGCTGCTGCAGATGCTAGGTCTTATGCCACTCCCTGTGGTTTTTCCCCAAGTACAAAATTAGAAGGTGGCCCAAAGTGTAGGGGGGACATTAGCTAAGAGCAAGAGGCAGTTCAGGGAACCCCTGAAGACACCCATAGTGTATATCCCATAATACCCCAGATTCTCCTTCTCGGGAAGGACAGGTAGGACTGTCCAAAAATGACCTCTCTGGATCGTCTGGCAACAGATCAACAGGAATCCAGCCCTGTCCGCACCCAGGTGAGTGGGGCTGACCCGTAGGGCTTCTCTTGGGACCAGGGGACTCCAGATGCAGGAGCTGGAGCTTGTTGGAGTCCTCAGGCCCCCAGGGGCTGGCCAATGGGCCTTCCTCGTGCTCCCCTAAATACTGGGCACCTGTGCTTGGCTGCCTGGTGCCCATACCCAAAGTGCCAGCTTCCCGCTGATAAAGCACCTCTCTCTCACCCCGTGGAGAGGGAAAACAGGCAGGGTTGGAGGAGTCTATGTGGGGCATGGCCTCCGAGGTCCAGGAACCTCCCTGCACGCTATGCGAAAAGGTGGGAGCCTTGAGTCTCCTCTTGCCAATTCCTGACTCGTGAACTTCCCATTCCAGCCCATTTTTACCTCTGTCACGTAACTCCATCAGGTCCCCTGTGGAGCCCAGCCAAGAAGCCCCACCTGACTGGCAGGGGAGGACCAGCACTGGATAGTGACTTTCTGTAGCAGAAGGAAAAAATCAGTAACACCGGTGACTACCGTGGACCAAAGTTCAGTGCGCTCCCTCCTCCCCAGGATGGTGGAAGCCCCCAAGTTCTGCTGGGATCTAAAGGAGGGGAGACCCACCAATCCCACTTCTGGGAATATAATGTAAAAACCCCAAAACACTAATTTGAAAGAATCTATATGCACCCCTATGTTCATTGCAGCATTATTTACAATAGCCAAGATCTGAAATTAGCCCGTGTCCATCAGTAGATGAGTGGATAAAAAAAAAAACCTGTGGTATCTTTATACAATGAAATACTACTCAGCCCTAAAAAGAAGGAAATCTTACCTTTTGTGACAGTGTGGGTGACCTAGAGATTATTGTGCTAAGTGAAATAAGCCAGTCAGAGAAAGAAAAATACCACATGATCTCACTCATATATGGAATCTAATGAACAGAGTAAACTGAGGAACAAAATAGAAAGAGAGGCGTAGATACATGGAACCCACTGACAGCTGTCAGAGGGGAGGGAGGTTGGGAGACTGGATGAAAGAAGGTGAAGGGATTAACCAAGAAATACATGTATATAACACACAGATACAGGCAACAGTGTGGTAACCACCAGAGGGTAGGAGGAGGTGGGCCAAGGGGGCAAAAATGGGGATGAAAAGAAACTTGGCTTGGGGCGATGGGTATGAGATGCTGCGTGCAGAGGATGTCTTATTGAGTGGTACACTTGAAACCTGTATGGTTTGCGGAACCAGTGTCACCCCGATAAATTCAATTAAAAATAAATAAAAGAGGGGAGAGAGCTGCAGCCGTCTGTGACAACAGGGCAAACCAGCCGGATGACGAAGCGTCATCATTCAGGAGGGACAGAGCTGCCTGCTGCAGAGCTCCAGCCCCCTGAGCTCCGGCCTGCTGAGCCCCGCACCTCCCGCCTTGTGAGGCAGGACGCTTCCCTGCTGTCCAAGGCGGTTTAGCCTGGGTTTTTGGCCCTCTAGGCCACGGACATGGAGCCCACCACCTTTCTTAACACTGCCTTTATGTCCAGTGAACACATACCCAGACCTGGTGCTAAAGGGCAGACGGGTAGGGGGAAAGCGTGGGTGGAAAAACACAGACAACATTTTCCCAGGAATTAGGAAGGGATGGCCCTGCCACCACCCGAGGCGCAGCTGGGGGAATCCCTGTGTTCTCGGAAGGGGTCACCTTCAAGTGTCCTCTTTCTAGCTCTCTCCTCTCTTGGTAGCCTGGCTACTGCTGGAGTGGAGGAAATGGGCTTTGTCTTCTTATTTGTCAAGTAATTAGTTTGTCATGAGAGTAAAAATAAAAGTAAGTAGTATTTTTAATAGAGAAATGTCTGTCACTATCTTTTAGAGAAAGAGAGACAGAGAGACAGGGTGAGGATGCACATCCTGGTCAGCGGTCCTCCGGCTGCCTCGGCAGGGACACCTAGTCCCCGGGGTCACCTCTGCGGGAGGAGCCTGGGTTGTCACACAGAGGGATGAGGCGGGGGTACTCTACACTATAAGCCCCAGTGCGGCTTTGAAATTTTATATCATGGATAAGAATGACCTAGTCAGGATGTAATTTCAACATCTTACAAGAGGAGGCGCAAGAGGGAAAACGTAGGAAGGGAAAACACCCTCAGGGGAAGTGGGAGGAGTGGAGGTGATGAGGGAGCATTGTAGGGTCTTGAAGCAGCACTTCTCAAAGTTTTTGGTCTTAGAACCCTTCACATTCTTAAAAGTGACTAAGGACACAGAAAAGCTCTTGTTTATATGAGTTATAGCTATCAATATCGATCAAATCAGATGACAAAATTGAGAAATTTTTAGCAGTTATTTATTCATGAATTTAAAAATAACAGTAGTTGCCCTGGCTACTGTGGCTCAATAGACTGAGTGCTGGCCTGGGAACCAAAGTGTCGAATGTTCAGTTCCCAGTCAGGGCACATGCCTGGGTCGTGAGCCAGGTCCCCAGTAGGGGGCGCAGGAGAGGCAACCACACATTGGTGTTTCTCTCCCTCTCATTCTCCTTCTCTTCCCCTCTCTCTAAATATAAATAAACAGCCTGGCTGGTGTAGCCCAGTGGATTGAGCACGGGCCTGCGAACCAGACAATCACGGTTCGATTCTCAGTCAGGGCACATGCCTGGGTTGCAGGCTGGTTCCCTGCAGGCCAGTTCCCAGCAGGGGACGCACGAAAGGCAACCATACATTGATGTTTCTCTCCCTCTCTCCTTCCCTTCCCCTCTAAAGATAAACAAATAAAATCTTAAATATATATATACAAAATCTTTAAAATAAAATAAAAACAATAATAATAGCAATTATTGCTATTAACATGTAATAGCACTCATTACATGTTAATAAAATATTTTATTTAAAATAACTATATTTTTGCCCTGGCCTGGTGACCCAGTTAGTTGGAGCGTTGTCCTATGTACCAAAAGGTTGTGGGTTCAGTCCCTGGTCAGGGCACCTATAGATGATATTTCTCTCTCACGTTGACGTTTCTTTCTCTCTGTCTCTGTTTCTCTCTCTCTAAAATCAATAAGCATATCCTCCGGTAAGAATTAAAAATAATAATAGCAGCTATATTTTCCAAAGAAAATACTCAATGAGAGAGGGCACCGTTTCTCCACGTGGCAAATCTCCTTAGCGTCTCCCTCAATGGGGCAGGACTAGATTCTGTCCGCCTCTGTACCCAATCTGAAGCCATGTCACATGACATAGCTTGTGAAAAACTTTGCTGTATGTTCATCAGATGAAAGCGAAAAGAGCAATAATATCTTAGCATTGGAATGAAAGTTGCTGACTCCCTGAAAAGGCTTTTGGGACCCAAGGATTCCCCGGACCTTGTACTGAGAATCAGTGCTCTACAGCGCCCCTGCCAGCCTGCAGGGTGAACTTCACTTCGCTATGAAGTCACCATCACCTGAATAGCTTAGCTATAAAAGGATTTGTTACAGTGGGGATTAAAGCATATAAGTGGGGTCGTAAATGAGAAAAATAATATTTAATATCGATGATGATGATGATAATGAAGACAATCATACATCTTGGTAGGGCGGCATGCCGTGTTTTAGAGCGGGAACCAATTCATTTGGTCCTTGTAATGTTCCTGGGCCGATGTCTGTGTGCCCAGGGCTTCATAAGGCTGGAACTCAAGGCGTCAGGGCTTGGAGTAAGGGAAGGTGTATCCATCAAGAAGACACCAACCGAGAAGGCAGGACACCTACTGGTGCCTCAAATCCACCTTACTTGCTGGACTGGGTTAAGGGTTTTTGTGGGGTTTGGGGGAACCGGTATGCAAAAGTGCTGGTGGGGGACCTTGGTACTTGGCCATTTATAGTAAAGGGGCATCAGTATCAGGTCTTCCTGGATAACGGACCTCTGGCTTCTGAAAGGTCCCAGTGTTCAAGTTCTGGTTATGTCCTGGTCATTTGGTTCCATAGGGGGTAGGGATGGGGTACAGTGAACTTTGGTTCTGGCTGCAGCTGGAGGCCAAAGTTCTCTCCTCTGTGCCATGCCCCAGCTGCCTGACTGTGGTCTTGGTCCCTTGTCGGTGAAAAGCAGCTCAGTATCTTGTTCAACAGTATAATAGGACCATTTTGAGCTGGTTACAGTAAAAGCCTTGAAAAGTTACCGTGGTAAGTAATTTGCTTTCCACTTTGCAGAAGAAGAAGCTGAGGCTTTGGTGGAACCAGCTTCCTCAAGGTTGTAGGCTTGTCTCTGGTCAGACAGTGACGTGAATGGGCTTTCAGCAGGTCCAGTACTCTGCCCGCCCCCTCACAGACTTGTTTTCTCTCCTAGGCTGAGATGCAGATCCAAGACCAGAAGCTCCTGCTCACACTGAGGCACCTGCACAGCGTCCTGGAGGAGCTGCGTTCTGAGAGTGCCCACTGGGAGGACTCCAGGTCCAGCGGAGGGGCATCACCTATCAGAGCTCGAGCAGGCTCCGAAGGCAGGGGTCACCCTCCCATGTCATCCAGGCGGCTGGCCCAGCTCCTCCAAGGGGTAGATAGCAGGCGAAGCTCCCTTCCTTAACTGGCTAGAGGTGACCGTGGTCTTGAACCCCCCTACCACTAGTCTAAGTTTTGTGATGTTGTTGGGGGAGAGCACTGGAATGGGAGTCAGGGAGTCCCTAGTTTAACTTCCGCCCTCATCCACTGAGTGTTCCTGGGTGCCCCTGGACCCATCACTCAGTGTCTCTATGTCACTAGTCCCTTTTCTGTCACTTATCAGCATTTTTGATGAGATGTCACAAAATTGGAGGGGAATATGCTTTGAAAAACACAGCTATTTTACATGGCTTCTGGAAAGCACCATGAAGTAGGCTTATCTTTGGGCATTTCTCAAAAAATGATTGTTAAAACAAAAAGCTTAATGTGTGAGGATGTTCATCCAGCCTTGCCATCGTGAACAACATAACACTGTGTGATGAGAGGATGGTGGTTTGCTGTTTTCCCAGCAGGACTTCTCGTTCCCCTTGATCTGAAAGCAACAGACCCTGCCGCCCTCTGGCCATAGGGATGGACATGTGGTCAGGCCTGCCCAATTTTAATGCATGGTCACCCTGACAACATGATTGGCCCAGTGGGTTGGCATGTGACTCACCATAGCCAATTACAGCCCTTCTCTGGGATTGCTAGCTGGATATTTGTTCTTCTGCAGTTGCAAAGCTGGGGATGCCAGGGTCCATATTCCCTGGCAGGTGGGGCAGACCTGTCTGTGCTTGGAAAGAAAGAGCCTAACTTAACGGAGAAATAGAGAAAAGGCCACACAAGAGATGGAGTTACTCTTGCCTTCTTTCCAGTGACTGAAACTAGTAAATTCCACCACCATCACACACACCAATTTGGTTTTGCTTAAGCTGATTTGAATAGGGTGTCCCTCCTTTGCACCCAAAACAGTCCTGAGGAATACAATGCAGATGGTCAAAGAAGCAAAGGAGGGAAATGATGAAGGAAACAGCCCCCCACTCATTCAGAGTTGGCAGTAATGACGCTGTAACAGCAGACAGCAAGGTTTGTGATGTGGCAGAACACCAGGCTGCATGGGGTGATGGGGTTGAAACTCTGAAAATTTTGTCTGCCTGTGAGGAAGACTTTAAAATGGAAGAGGTAAATATAAAAAGTCCTGTTGTTAAGATGGTCTGATTATTGGTAGGCCTTTTTATTTTTGATTGACTTGCATGTTGTTAGAATATGTTGTTTTTGTGGCTTTGAAAAAGTAAACCCATTGCATATAGAAGCAAATTGAGGGTGTTGCTTATATGTACGTTTATTGTCAGACTAACCTGGGATATTTTATATGATATACGATAATATAAAAAGTAGCTCAGTTGGTTGGAGCATTGTCCTGATATGCCAAGGTTATGGGATCAAGCCCCAGCCAGGGCACATACAAGAATCAACCAATGAATGCATAAATAAGTAGAACAACAAATCGATAAGTAGAACAACAAATCGATGTCTCTCTCTCCCCTCCTCTCTCACTTTAAAATCAATAAAGTTAAAAATTAGTATTTCCCCATCCATTGACAGCCGAATAGATAAACAAAATATGATATACACATAAAATGGAATTTCATTGAGCCTTAAAGAGGAAGGAAATTCTGGTACATGCTACAACATGGATGAAATTTGAAGACATGATGCTAAGTGAAATAGGCCAGTCAGTTACAAAAGGACAAATACATGATTCCGTTTATGGAAGATGCCGAGAGTAATCAAACCCATACAGACACAAAGTAGAATGGAGAGGATGCCATGGCTTTGGAGAGCGAGGAGGGAGAAGTCGTTGTTCAGTGGACACAGAGTTTCAGTTTTGCAAGAGGAAAAAATTCTGGAGATGCGTGGCGTGGCGGTGAGGGCGGTACAACAATGTGTACACAGCTGATGCCACTGAACTATACACTGAATAATGTTACAATGGTAACACTTATGTTATCTTTTATCACAGTTAAAAATAAGTGCTTATTAAAAAACAACAACCTGTACTGTGATGCCGGGGCCGGGGCCCCAAGAAGCGCATTTCTGCTCCAGGTGAGAGTTTGTTAGACTTTGCCGACCATCAGGGTAGGCTGGAGGGACACCCCTGGGCTGGAGGAGGCAGAAAGAACTTGGTTCTTCATCTTTGATCTGTGTAGCTTCCCGTTCCTATGAGCACCACCCAGCAACAACGCTTCTTCATCTCACAGCAGCAATTCCTCCCCACGGCTCGAGCCAGCATGCCCTTCTCAAGCCTCTAGGTCCTAGACCCCGCAGGCATTCACCAGATACTGCAGCAAGGAAGATACATTTGGAGATTCACATACAGGGCCTTTCACACTTTAGTCAGGATGTGATGTGTGTTTCTGCCTCCCACAGCCCATGGGCTAGAATAAGCCATGGGGTCTGTCCCAGGAGGCAGCTGGGGCATGTGGGGAACAGAGGGAGAGGCTGGTGAGTGCCAGAGTGTCAGACGCATGCTCCGTTCTCTCTCAACAGCCCAGCTTCCTCGTCCTGCCAGAGCACTAGGAGCATCTCCGGTTCTAATACTTGTCTTTGACCTTGACACGGAACTCCTAAAACCCCTGTAAATTCCTAAGTGGCGTTGACTCTAGGAGGGCCCCTGGGTGGCTCCTGGATGGGGACTGGTCACCAGAAAGACTCATTATTAGAAGCTTGGGATTTTCAGCCCCACCCCCATCCTCCAGAGAGGAGAGAGGGGCTGGAAATGGGGGTAATAATTGTTCATGCGTGCTTGAGGAAGTCTTCATAAAATCCCAGTAGCAGGGAATTCAGGGAGCTTCCTGTTTGGGAAACACACCCACATACCAGGAGGCTGTAGATGTTCCTCTGCCCTGGGGACCCTCCCAGACCTTGTCTTATGTTATCTCCTTATCTGGCCGTTTGTCCGTATCCTTTAATAAACTGCTAAAGGTAAGTGTCCCTGAGTCCTGTGAGCCATTCTAGCAAATTAATTGAACTAAGGAGAGAGTCAGGGGAACCTCTGATTTTTAACCCAGTTGGACAGAAGTTGTCGGTAACCCGGGGACCTACTGCTTTCAATTGGCTTCTGAAGTGGGTGGGGGCAGTCCTGTGGGACTGAGCCCTTCAGCTGTGAGATCTCCAGGTAGAGTCAGAATTGTGTTAAATTGTAGGACACCCAGCTGTTGTTGCGAGTTGCTTGGTGTGGGGAAAAACACCCACACATCTGGTGACCAGGCGTCAGAAGTGAAGTATTCTGTGTAAACGTAAAGGAGAAATACACAGGAGGTGGAGAACTGGGTTCTTTCCTAATCAGGAGGGAAAGACTAGGTTCTTCTATTCAGGCTTAAAAAGCAATGGCCAAGGAAGCAAATGCAGGAAAGTCGAGAACAAATTAAACTGCCTGTTCGAAGTTTGGTTGGAATGGCTTGTGTACCTTAACCAAGTGCTGTCAGCCTAGGGTAACTACTCTGTGGGTGGGCGCCACCTACTGTCCGTGCTCAGTAATTCTTCCGGGAACCCGCCTGCTTTGGGGTGTAAGACCGGCTCCTTCACCACTTACTTTCTTACTGTGGGACATCTTATGGAGAGGGCCAAGGAGGATAAGGTTTTCTGGCGTTGAGGTCTGGGTTTGAGTTTCAGCTCTGCCCCTGAATGACACGGGGCAAATCACTTCTCCTCTGAGCTTCCATTTAACCTTAACTCTAAAATAAAAATGAGACCTCTCGGGTCTGTGAAGAGAATCTTGGGAAAATGCTTTGTAAACTGGGAATAACCAGAGGCGATGGAAAGAGCATTGTCTGCAGTTCCATAGGCCTGGATTCATTAAAAAAAAAACAAACCTTACTGCTCACCAGCTGCAGCCCAGCCACTATTCTGCATGTGGGAATGTAGCAATGAAGAAAACAGACAAAATTCATGTTTTCATGTAGCTGACATTCTAGCATTTCAGTTTCTGAGTCATTCATTCATTCATCTACAAATACTTTTCTGATATTATTATGTGCCAGGCACTTTCATAAGCAGTGGGCACAGAGGGACTCCCATACGGCTAGAGCACAGGAAGCAAAAAAACAGGGTTGGGCTAAGACAGAGCCAGGTTTTGCAGTACTTGAAGCTTTTCAGATTTGGATACTGTTTTCTTAAGAAGAATAAATGTCATACATACTGAATTTTGTTAGAAAGGAAATTTTTGTAAAACGACAGAAGAAATAACAAATTACCAAATTTAAAAATCTGACAAATATCACGAACATCATACAATCTAGACATAACATATTTTTATTAATTAGCTCCATGATATTGCTCTATAATAATTTTTCTTGTACAATTCTGCTGTAGATTCTGTGATCATCTAGTCCTAAGACAATTAGTTTTGTTGTCTTTCTATAAACATATAAAGACAATAATTCAGTCTTTACAAGATTAACTTTTGTGTGAATAGTTTAAACAATTTTCTTTAAGTAGTAAAACTTGATGCCATGTTAATTTTTAAGACTACTGTCAAACTTGGGACCCCCCTCTAAGTTTTTTCCAGATGCAAGATGTGGGTCTTTGGAGATAGTGACTGATTTTGAGTCTTTGAGTTGGTAGCACTTTGACCAGTTTATTTGCCAGTTCCTCCTGACATGATGAAATCTTCATCCATGCCAGTATTTTGTGTCAAATAAGTGAGAAATTTAAATATTTTCCCAATGTATTTATATAATATACTCTTTTTAATTAATTAGATAAGGAATTTTCAACCATTGTGTTGCCACAGACACACTGGTGAGCTGCAAGAATTTTTAAAACCTGCAATACCTAACAATTCAGTCAAGGGTGCTGACCCCTCTTCCCTCAGATTGTCAAATTAAAAAATGACAACAGCTAACACAACAATAGCCATCTGGTGTGAATAAATCCAAATTGTACTGATTTTTTGGTAAGATCAGCAAAATATATATATTTTTGGTGTGCTGCAGAATTTTAGTAATTAGTTTATGTGTGTCATGTGATAAAAAAAGTAGAAAATCATTGAATTAGATTATCCGACCATCGAAGTCCATTCATAACTTTGATTTGAAAGTTATGAGTATGATCTGCAGATCATTGCACCTTGTAAGCACCAGACATCACTAGTAATGACAAATAAGAATGACCCAACAGAATGAGATCATAAAACAGTAACTTCCCACTCACTGTTTACAGTATGGTCACATATTTGCCACACAGCCTACAAACACAGGAGTTTTATTTCTCTAGTTTGTGCAATCCCTACTACAAAGGAAGAAAAAAGCATGCAGGGTACACTTAATTGTATATGCTATTCAGCCCAATATATTTCTGATAGGAACGAACTTCTGCTTTAACTAAGATTTACTGAGAAACACATTCTCTGCTTATTGTTTAAGATGTTTGATGACTGGGAGAATTTTCCATAGACTAGCTTCTGGCTCTGCATATTTCAAATCTCGTCTCCAACCCGCTATGTGCCTACTCCTGATGCTAGCTAGGCACTAATACAAAGTATGGCCCTGCACCTTCATGTCACAATGCAAGGTGAGATGGCACTGTGGGCAGTAATTCCTACACTGAGAGGGACAGCAATGACGTTACTACAGATGAAAGTGACAGTGAACCATATAAATGGATCTCTCTTGCCTTAGTCTTTCAGGTTGCCATAGCAAACTACCATAGACTGAGGGCTTGAACAACAAACATTTCTTTCTCACAGTTTGAGTCTGGGAAATCCAAGATCAAGGTGCTTGCATACTCAGTGTCTGGTGAGGACCTGCTTTCTGGTTCACAGATGGCTCTTTCCTGCCGTGTCCTTCCAGGATAGAAGCAACAAGGGAGCTCTCAGGGGTCCCTATTATAAGGGCACTAATCCCACTCACGAGGGCTCCACTCTGATGACCTAATCACCTCACAAAGGCCACCTTCTGATTCCATTACATGGCGGGGAGGGGTTAGGATTTCAACCTATGAGTTATTTGCAGGAGACACATTCAATCCAAAATACCTTGGAACCTAAATGAAATGTGTACCTAACTCAGCTCTGCCTTGGCTGCATCCTCAGGTCTTCCTTTGCCACCTCCAACGTAGCCTGACAGAGGGAGAGTTGGAGTAGAAAGAGATATTGATCTTAAAGGATTACAGTTAAATATCTTACTTCTGCCACATTTACAAAAACATATGCCCAAATGAACACAGACTATGTTTCCTCCAGGGCCTTGGAGGGGACGATGCAAGCAAGGGCCCTGAAACTGAGGGTTCATTGTCGTCAAGGGAATTCCACCCCCATCTGAAGTGATGGGGTGGACCACAAGCAGTGTTAGAAGGGAGTTTGGGTTTTATTCTAAAGGCAACAGGAAAACTACAAGGGCTTTAAATGAGGATGTCAGGGGGTAATGTGATTTGACTTATGTTTTTCAAAGACCCCTCTGGCTTCAGTGTGAACAATGGGCTTAAGGAGGCAAGTGACATGAAAGGAGACTGCTGAGGGAGCTGCTGGAGCTTTTTCAGGAGAGTGGTGGCTTAGACAAGGGTTGAGTGAGTAGATAGCAAGATGCGAATAAAGTCATATTTGAAGGTGGAGTGATGGGCTTGCCGATGGCTTGACATTAAGGTAGAGGCAAGAGTGGCATCAAGGCTGTCTCTCAGATACTGGCTTGAGTGGTTGCTGGGACGCTGTTCCCTGAGGTGGGGAAGTGGGACATGGGAGCCAACCCTGAGTCTGAGTCCTGTCTCTACCATTCCCAGCTACGTAACCCTGCTCGGGTTGCTTCTCCTCTCCGGGCCATATCCTCATTGCAAAAGAGGCACTACCTTGTAAGGGTGTTTGAAGAGTGAACGAGATAACCTGTCAGCAAGGAGACTGAGACCTTATCAATAACCTACACATTAGATGCCATTGCTGTTCCAAGATTTATTACTATTTACGATGAAGCTCAAGGGAGAAAGCCAACCTAGAGAATAGCCAACCTAGGCTCTAGTATGATTTTTCTTTTATGTTTCAGCAAGAAAGCTGTGATATTCCAGGCAGAAACATATTTTCTCTCCCAAGAGGGTGAATCAACGTGAATAATCTTTTTAATAACAACAGTTAATAACAGCTAATATTTAGTAAGCATTAATTATTGCTAGGCTCTTTACATGCTTCATCTCATTTATCTTTTACGATACATAGGGCACAGATACTTTTATTATCATTTCTAGTTTTCAGATGAGAAAAACTGAGGTTCAAGGGATTAAATAACTTCTCCCCTTTAGCTAGTAAGTGGAAGAGATGCGACTCCATCCTAAGGATGTTCAGAGACCAGGGAGAGGGGTCAGAACTTCCCACCTTTCACAATCCTTCTGTAGCTATTGTTCTGTAGTCCAGGCCCCACCCCTGTCATCCCCCTGCACCTGTGAGATCCAAGGTCAGAGTGCCTCGCTGCGCCCTTTGCGCACTGCCCCGCCCTTAGCCCCACCTAACCCATGAGGACCCGCCCCATCCCCTGTAGCCCCGCCTCTAGCCCTGCGCTGCTCGTGCCCGCCCCACTCCTGCCTTTGCCCCGCCCATTCTTGGCCACTCTGCCGACTTGTCCCGCCCCTGTCTTTGCCCGCCCCGCCCCTCACTAGCTGACGCCCCGCCCCTGTGGGAGCGAAACACTTCACATCCGACCGGCTGACAGGGGCAGGGCTCCTCGCAGCCCTGACACCAGCGCATGTTTCCTCAGATCCTGCGCTAAAAGTAGGGCTCAGCCAGAGGGGCCGGGCGGGACCTGGAGGCTGAAAGCCCGCAGAGCGATAGAGCCCGCAGCACCCCGCATCCCCGCAACCTTGCCAGTCTCCTCACTGGCCGGAGCCCTGAGGCCCCCGCCTGAGGGAGAAACTCCCTGGGCTGGAGGCGCGGCTGGGTTCTCCCCGCTACACCAAAGTGGGGTGAAGGGTGGAGGGGTGGAAGGGCGCTAGCGGTCGCCGCTCTGGGAGCACCCGGCCTTGAACTCCAGGAGGCGTCTGTGGGAGGAGCTCTGGGTATCAATGCGCCCGGCGCTGGTCGTCTTCTCCCAACCCTGGACGCCCGCGCCCCGGGACCTTCCCTTTCCTCGCCCGTCGCCCCGGCCCCCGCGTGCCCCCCACCCCGGGAAGCTCCCCCTCGGCTCTCCCGCGAGCGTCCCGGTTCCCCTCGCGCACCGCGCTCCCCCCCTTCCCTGGGGCTCGGCTGGAGCTAGTCCGTTCCCTGGCTCCTAGGTCCGCGCACTGTCGTCAGCTTTACTTTGCACGGAGCAAATTCATCTCGGCGTCCCCTGGAGGACGTTCGGGGTGTGTGTGTGTGGGGGGGGGGGGTTGTTGTGCGGGAAGGAGGTGCTCAAGAAAAACTGATGTCTCAGGAATATTAAATCACAAGGCTGTTTGTTTTTTCTTTTTCTTAAAATACATTAATAAGCGTTCAACTGGGAGCAATTGTGAAAGATGAACTGGAATTTTTCCAAGGTACCAAGCACACAGACTAGGGAGAAGAAAAGTGGAACCAAGGCAGACACAGGCCATAAACATTAAAATCTGTAGCTGCCCCGCTGGGGAATGTGGTTTGGTGGGTTGCGTGACCTTTCTGTGGGGCCCAGTGATTTGATTCTTGGTGTGGAAATGGGCATTGATCAAAGCTAAATTTTTAATTCTGTGACTGATACTGTTTTCGTGTTCCTTTTGGCTCCATTTGCTCTCTTCTCAGAACTTAAGAAACAAAAAGAAGCTTTTATAGTGGCTGCTTAAGCTCACATCTGTGAGAAATAAATTAGTTTGATTCTCCTCTAGAAGTCAGCCAAAGTATTATAACATCCCTTAATAATGGGACCTTGTGATGTTATTGGCAATAGTACGATTTGTAGAAAAATGCGTAAATTCTTTGTCTTTGTTTCAAGTGGTTTACTTTTACCACTCTTATGTCAAAACATTTTAATTTTATTTTTGTTTCCTTTCTTGCCTTCTTATTCTTTTCTTATAGTTTCTTGTTTTATTTTAACTTCAAAAATTAATATATTATTGGATAAACCAGAGCATCTTAAAGAGAACATAGAAATTCAACTCCTGGTTATAAATCAATGATCCGACATTTATCGAATTCTTTAGTTTTAGGGAGAAAAAAAAAAGGAGACCTGGGTTCTCTTAGTTTGGTCTACCTTTTCCAGTTCATTGATTTTTCCCCCCGTTTCCATCTCCTATTTTTTCCAGGCTTTCTCCTCTATTTAGTTGACCATATTAATAAGAGAACTCACACTCCTTATAAGATAAAATAAGTAAAATGTAAAAAGTGATCAGGATACATTTAAACCAGGTGTGAGTCACAATCTAATAGAGCTCTGTAACATTTATTACTTTGTATTTCAACTAATGGTTCCTTCTTTACAAGAAATAATTTGAATTGAATCATGTATTGAACTAGAAGATAATCTGAGTGTTATTTTATAGAATTAACAATATTTTTGCTGCCTGAAAATTAGCACTAAATGGTTTTTGTAATCAAATTTTAAATGTCTTTTAATGTTCTCTCTAGTTCATTAAATACAACTAAGGAATACAGGCAATATGTTCTACACACATGTACTTATGAGTAAGAGAGGGCCATTGGCCAAAATCTGGCTTGCAGCTCACTGGGAGAAGAAACTCACGAAGGCCCATGTGTCTGAATGTAATCTAGAGATAACCATTGAAAAAATTATTTCACCTAAGGTATGCTATTGATTAAATTGTAGTATGTATTTGCCGTGACTTATGGAAAGGAAATGAATTAAAATACATTGTATCATGAAATACATTCCCAAGGATGTTTTACTTCTCAAATGGTCTTCACTCTTAGCTTCTATAGAATTTACTATCTGAATATATCCATATATTGGTTTTTGTTAGTAATTAACTATTTTATGTTCATCATAAATAGAGTGGACCCTAAAGGATAAAGACCACATTCTATACATATTTTGTAATCCTTTGTTATTCCCTGTCAAATTACTATATACATAGTAGTATCAAATAAGTATTTATTAAAAAAATAATGAATGAATAAAGAGGGAGAGTAGAAAAAAGGAGGATGGTGTATGACTGAAAATATATATGAAAACACTTCATAAACAATAAAGTACTATACTCATTATAAAAATATAATGAGCTATTAGAATTTACCTTAAAAGATTCTTTTAATATTTTATAAGTTAAGTATTTTTCTGCTTGAGAGAAGGGGAAATTATAATTGAAAACCAACCATGTGTAAGGCACTAGACTAGATTTTATGTTCATTAGTCTTTTTTTTTATTTTTCTTTCTTTATTTTTTAGATAGAGGGGAAGTGGAGGAGAAAGAGTGGGAAAGAAACATCAATGTGTGGTTGCCTCTAATGTGTCCCCTACTGGGGACCTGGCCTGCAACCCAGGCATGTGCCCTGACTGGGAATCAAACCAGCAACCCTTTGCTTCGCAGGCCCGTGCTCAATCCCCTGAGCTACACCAGCCAGGACTGTTCATTAGTCTTTTTAATCTGCACAACAGTCCTGTGTGATGGGCTTCTTTTGCCTCCGTGAAGTGAGGTGGTTAAGAGTATGAACTTCTGAGTTTGTCAAGTTTAAATTGAATTCCTGTTCCATCACTTAATACTTGTATTAGTTTGGGCATACTACTTAACATATGAGTCTCAGTTTTTTCTTCTGTAAATAGTTGTTGTTGTCAAAATTAAATAAATTAATGAATCAAAAGCCCTTAGGACAGTGACTGTCACAGAATAAGTAAATAATAAATTATAGCCATTATTAATAAATCAAAGTTCAGGAATATTAAATGACCCAGCCTCAGCAACTAAGCCAAGGCTTGAACCCAACTCTGCTTGACTTGGGACTTTTATTCTTCCCATAAAGCCAGTAATAGCACACACCACTTAAATGTCAAATTAAATTATCTTCATTGAAGAAAATAACTATTGGGTTGGCCAAAACGTTCATTTAGGTTTTTTTTCCATTAAATAAAAGACACATTTTCATTTTCACCAGTAATTTTATTGATTTGTATATTTTGAGTATATTGGCTTATCTCCCGCTATCGGCTTCTAGTGGGTAGAGGCCAGGGGTGCTGCTAAACATCTCCCAATGCATGAGACAGCCCCACAGCAAAGAATTATTTGGCCAAAGTGTCAATAGTACCAATAAACGTCACAAACCACTTTTGATACTTTAGATCAGTTACAGCACCTTCTCCACACACTGCTCAGATCTTTTTTTTTTTTTGGTTGTGTTTTTACCTTTCTTGAAATAATAAAGCATAATATGCCAAAAATGTCGTGTATTTTCTTCCATCTTCAATATTTAAATGGCTGCACAAAAATTCACCAATTTTGATACATTTTTAAAATGCACACTGATATAACAGCTGTCACAATACAATCTAACAAAATTGTTTTGAATGAAGTTCAATCTAAACACTAAACAACTAAATACTAAACAACTAAATATTACTTAAAATATTTATATTTTATGTCATATGGAAAAAGTAAATGAACTTCTTGGCCAACCCGATATTTTACAAGGTGAGGTAAAAGTTAAGTGGTTCACTTTAAATAAGAATACAAAATACCTGCTTTTTAAAGAGAGGAAATTCTTATGACTTTGTAATTGTCAAAGAACAGGGCTTATGAATCTAATTTTTCATATTCTAATACTTGAAAAATTATTGAAAGGTGAAAATTGCACTTCGAACTTCAGGACACCTTCTTTTGGGAGTCGTTCGCATCTATAATAGGAAGGCAAAATACCTTTTGGCAGATTGCAGCGAAGCGTTGCTTAAAATGAAGATGACGTTCCGCCCAGGTATACGTGCACGTGGACTTGTCTCGCTTGTCTTGGTTCCCTTTCACGTTTTACTTTGGGTGGGCTTTTCTCATTGACAGCCCTTTATGATCCCAGGGTGAGTAGAGTGAGAGTAATCTTTCTTTTGACTGAGTCTAAGTTCAGTTCTTTCCTTCTCTTTTTCCTGTGTTTTCAGGGAAAGATTCTGCTTTCAACAACTTGTAATGTTTCTGCATGTTTACCTGTGAAATATACTTAAAGCTACCACGCTTGCGCAACAAACTCTGATACTCAGTTTTTATCTGTTATGTGGTTTGCAGTATCTGTTTTTGCCTTTTGAGATAAACTGGAAGTAATGTGACTGATGAAACCTAGATATCAGTAATTGTCATTGCTTTCACAATTCTCAAGACTCCTTAAGTAGCATGCTAGTAATAAAATATAAAAAAAACTCTAGACATCTCAAAGCACTAGAGATTTACATATAATATAAATATAATGCCTTTAAATTTAACTTTAAGACATTCATCATTTTCCATCTTGTATTATGGTTATTTAGGTATAGGCTTGCCTCTCACACTGGTCTGTAAGCTCCTTGAAGGCAAAATGTTAGCATTTATTTCCTGAATTTCTTATAGTACTTTTATCAGTGCATTGCACATACTATTCCCTCAGTTAATATTTGTTGAATCAGGATTGACAGGCTTTTCCTTTTATTTAAAATATTTGTAGAATCTCTATGTAAATTTATAATAGTATCAAATATGGTTCATTTGTTCATTATTTCATTTATCTATTTCACAAATGTCTATTGACCTCATACTTTATGTGAAACACTATGCTAGGCTCTGGGATACAAGGATGAGCAAGATAAATAAGGTCCTTTGTGCTCTGGTGAGATAAAAAAATTTTAAGTATTAGAATACTTATAGATTGTGATTGTGCTGTGAAGAAATATAAAAAGAATGCTACAACAGAAAATAACAGCAAACTTTATTTTAGTTAGTCTAGCCAAGGGGAGGCAAAGGAGAGAAACCTTTTTGAGAGGATAGAATTTAACTCAAACTTGAAGAATGAGGAATATCCTGAGGGAATAGCATTCCGGGCAGAGGGAACTGGGAGAGCAAAGGTCTTGAGGTGAAAAAGTGCTTAACTTGTTCAGGGAACAAAAAGACCAGTATGGTTGGAGTATAGTTCATGAGGAAAAGAGTGTCCTTAGATGATGCTGATAGGTTTGTAGGGCTGCAGAGGCCCTGATTAGACATTGGGACTCTATTTAAATGCACAAGGGAAGTCACTGAATCATTTTAAGCGTGGGAGTGATCTGATCTGATTTCGTACTGAAAATATCACTCTGGTTGCCGTGTAGAGAATGGACTGAAGAGGGGCAGGAGTGGATACAGGGAAAGCAGCCAGGAGACTAAGCAGCAGTCCAGTGAAAGTCTCACTTAAATAAAAGAGATTTATTTGGGAATTTCTTATTTTACATAGCATCATTGCTTATTGAATGTGATTTTTTAAAATTCTTTTCAGGACTAGTTGACCTTCCAAAAGAGAATTTTGAAGCAACTTATACTGCTATCACACTGCCGGAAGAATTTCATGATTTTGAAATCCAGAATGTGAAGTAAATTGTTTTATTTATTTGCCTTCAATTTCTTTCTTGATACTGTGCTGTTTTCATCTTCAGATTTCACGAGTGCAAATGCCGTGTAGTTAACCACTGAAGTAAACATGCCATTGACAGAGACTTAAATTTAGTGTGCAATTGCAAAGTACACCAAAATGTATGTATCATTATTATATTTGGTAAATGCACTCAATATGCGCTGAGTGTCTTCCGTATGCCAGGCGTTATTCTAGGTATTGAAGAGATAGCAGTAAATAAAGCAAAGCCCCCAGTGGCATGAATCCAACATTTGCTTGGAGTAGACAGACAATAAACAAATAACTAGCTCTGCTGTATGTTAGAAGATGATCGTCCTTAGGAAGAGAAATCCAATATAAAATAAAATAAATAGTGGAATGGTCAAGCAAGGCTTTTCCGATAGGGTCAGAACAGACACTTGAAGGACGGACGTAGAGGAACAAATCTTTCAATCATGTGAGAAAGAAGGACTCATGCTGAGCAAGTGAAAGGAGCTAAGGCAGGGTACACTGGACACTCTCAAGGAACAGCCGGGAGGCAAGGAGACCGCAGTGGAGTGAATGAGGGTCTGAGTGGTAAGAAATGCAGTCAGAGAGGCAGCCAGGAATGCAGAGGTAGGCGTTGTAGGCTCCATTGAGGAATTCATTTCACTGGGGAGCACAGGAGGGTTTTGACTGGAGAGGGACACAATGAATTTGACTCGCTGTCCCTGTGCTCCTTAGGGCTACTTATTATATTATAAGGGGCAAAGAGAGGAAGCAGGGAGCCTGTGAGGAGATTATGGCAGTAAATAGTCCAGGTAAGATATGACAGTATATGTCATCGGTTCTCAATCTTCATCTTACTACAATGAAGATTTTACAGTATAAAGGAGAATTTCCCCAATCTGGCAAAGGAAGTAGACTTCCAAGAAATCCAGGAAGCTCAGAGAGTCCCAAAGAAGTTGGACCCAAGAAGGAACACACCAAGGCACATCATCATTACATTAGCCAAGATTCAAATGAAGGAGAGAATCCTAGAAGCAGCAAGAGCTAAGGGGACAGTCACCTACAAAGGAGTCCCCATCAGACTGTCAGCAGATTTCTCAAAAGAGACCTTACAGGCAAGAAGGGGCTGGAAAGAGGTATTCCAAGTCATGAAATCCAAAGACCTACAACCAAGATTGCTCTATCCAGCAAAACTTTCATTTAGAATGCAAGGACAGATAAGGTGCTTCTCAGATAAGATCAAATTCAAGGAGTTCATCATCACCAAGCCCTTATTATATGAAATGTTAAAGGAACTTATCTAAGAAAAAGAAGTTAAAGAAACATGAACAGTGAAAGGACAGCAAACTCACAGTTATTAACAACCACACCTAAAACAAAAGCAAACTAAAAGGACAGCTAGATCAGGAGTGGAAACATAGAAATGAAGATCTCAAGGAGGGTTAGCAACAGGGGAGTGGGAGGAGGAGAAGGGGGCAGAAGGTACAGAAAATAAGTAGCATAGACAGTAGATAGAAAATAGATGGGGGGGGCAAGAATAGCATGGGAAATATAGAATCTAAAGGAATTGAGACACATGGTCATAAACTAAAGGGGGGGTAATGTTGGGGATGGGGGGGTAGGGTGGAGGGGAATGAAGGGGGGAATAGAACAACTGTAACAGCATAATCAATAAAAAAATTAGAAAAAAAGATTTTACAGTCAGATTATGCATCTGTTTTGAAGTCAGAGCCAACAGAATTTGCTGACTGGATATGGCTTTAAGAGAAAGAGAGAAGTAAAGGATGACTAGGGGGTTTTGGCATAAGAATGGAGACACCACTTAATGGTATCAGGGTAACTATGGAATGGCAGGTTTAAGAGGGGCAGGGTGAAGGAATTATATTAGGTTTTGGACATAAGTTCTATGGTGATTGTTATGCATGTGAGGGGAGTATGTAGGTAGTTGAATATCTGGGCATAAGATCCAGGAAAGAAGTCTGGATGGGATATATAAGTTTGGGAGACATAAATGGAACTTCAACCATGAACCATAGGCAATCCCCAAGGGAGTAAGCATAGGTTGAAAAGGGAGAGAGGGCATAAGGGAGAGAATGAGATGGAGACCTGAGGATTGAGTGTTATTGGGTCTTTCCTAAGCGTTAATAGTCTGGGAGATGAGAAAGGACTAATAAAGAAGATGGAAAAGGAGCAGCCAATGAGGTAGAAAGAAAACCAAGATGGAGTGGTATTCCAGAGGCCAAAAGTAGAAAGTATTCCATAAGGAAGGAAGTTAACATCCATTTCAAATGCTATGGGTTAGGGTAAATAAGAGGACTGAGAGCTGACCATTGGATTTGGCAACCTGGAGATCATATACACATACAAGAAACTAGTATTTATAAATAATACTGTCGAGAAAATAAAAATCTCCTTTATTTTTATAATAAAACATAGGGTTTTTTTGTTTTAGGAGTTTTAGTTGTTGTTTTGCAGTATACTACAAAATATGTTGTGTTCACCTGTTTCTCTCAATCTTATATTTCTCCATAGTGCCATTAATGTTTTAGAAAAATTTGCTCAGAACCAAAGCAGACCAGAAGAAATCACGCTTAAAGACTATTATCACAATGATTTACTTTTCCGAGCTGTGAGCTTTGGTGAGAATATTTGGGAAATCAAAATTATATCATAACCAGTTATATTTGCATTTTTATATTGAAATGATGCCAGTAGAAATATCTTTAGAATGAATCTTTTGATGTATAAATGTAACCCTCCAATAATTTTAGCATTGCCTTTTTCTAGTATATGTGGGAAGAACGTGCTCTTCATATACCAACCGACAGACCTGGATTTGAATCTGGGCTTTCTCTGTTTACTTGCTGTGTGATCCTGGGTTAATTACCTGACTGCTCTGAGCCTTACTGCCCTATTCTTTACTACTTTACTCCCCTATATTGGGATACTACTAGCAACATCACAGGGTTATTTTCATTATACCCTCCTTTAGTCTTTTCTATCAGTAAGTTATTTTTCTCTTCAAAAACTAAATCAAACCTGATGTTCTTCAAGAACTGTTTGATATGAACCCATCCTATTCTGGATATCAATATAAAATTGAAGGCAGTGGTTATTTCATTAATTGTTTTGTAATAATCTCAGGTTCTTGGGATGCTCAGTGCTAAGAATACAGTGTCTCTTCATAAATGTTATCTTATTGACCAGACTTTTTCTTTTGGCAGCTGCACCTGGAACAAGTGGACATAGTCTTAGTTCTTTTTGAAAAGTCAGTCTTTTCTTTTGAGCAAATGTTTAGGCCAGGCCAGTGATGGCTGCCTTTTAAACTCTTACTTTCTAGAATATGAGTGCATATAGAAGAACTTTCAATATGAGTGATACTTCATTATTTTTTTTTACTGAATTGCACTTCCATGGGCTGTTAGAGGGTGGGCAGGAAAGACGAAATGCTGACCCTCAGGGCTTTCAGACTCCTGGGCCTAGAGATTCAAACCCAAGGCAGGGAAAGAATATGTGCTCTTAGCTAATCTTGAAGTAGGCCAGTTTGAAGTAGGGAGTTTATTTTATCTGCTGCTGTAAGAATCTTAGGAGTTTTCTGTCATAAATCTCCACTTGGCAAACTATTTTACCAGTTGACCATTCTAACACTGATGTGTCTGCTGGGTTCAGATCCTGGCTTTGCCATTTATTAGAGTTTGACTATGTGCACATACAAAACTTTTCTGTGATTGCATTTCCTTGTCTGTACAATGAGTATTGTAATAGTATTTCTATTGCATGATATCATGCACGGAGTAAGCACTCACTTAATGTGAGTTGACTGGTTTTTGTCTTTGTAATGGCTGTTTCTCCAGTCCCTAGCACATTGCCTAATACCCTGTCATTCAATGAATATCTATTGAACTAATGTTGTAAGCCCATTCTTTAATATTTTACCCACGTGTCCATTCCTAAGAAGGCAGATATGTTCCTTATTTTCCAAAGCCCCATTATGGAGAAACAACACAAGCAATTACCCTTCAAATAATATGAAATAATACTTGTTCAAGCAGAACATGACCTACCTAAAGTAGAAGAATCATTCCACTGCCAGTAACAACCTGGGAAAGTATTAAACTGTACCATAATCAGAAACTATCCTGATGTTTTAGCTTTTTCTTTTCTTATTGTATTGGAAAAAGTATTAGACTAAAAATCTAGTATCCGCTGATTAACTGAGTGACTTTAGTTTAATAATTCAAATCAGTGTTTTAGCTCTCATTTTCCTTGTCTGTAAAATGAGGGGGGTGCTATATAAGATGATATCTGAATTCCCTTCTAACCCTAAAATTCTGTGTTGTTCTGACTAATTCAGTATTAATGATATATATTTATTTAGGGGAGGAATCTGAAATTCTCAGAAGCCGTAGCTTCTTTGATGACAACATATTGCTGAATTCCAGTGGTGCTGTAATTGAATATAGTTCTGGAAGCTTCAATGGAGAAAAATCTCTCTTCTATGACAGTGGGGATGGATTTGGTGATGAAGGGGCTACAGGAGAAATGATTGGTATGCTGTCCCGTTCTATAGAAATTAAGTGTTTATTCCTATGAAATGACTGTAGTGCATTAGTAGATATGTTAGATCAAGCTAAACCAATCAGGTATGTGTCTACCACAAATCAACACATTGCTTACACGAGTTTTCAAAGTGTGTAGTATATTTAAACATTTAAGCTAGGTCTAAGTAGATAGCCATCTGTTTAAACACATTTTAATAAAGATTGTGAAATACCGATTGTTTTCATTTTTTTAAATTTCTAAAATTTAGAAGGGAAATAATGAGGTTAGTATATTCCTCACAAAATATACTAAATTATATACCAAAAAATTGTTTTCTTTAACAGAAACTATAGGAGAGCTATTATAAAAGATCTGTCCAACATTTTATATTGCTCATTTTATTTTTATATTATATTAATCATAGTAGCATAGGCAAAAACTAAGAAACCCAAATGCACATATTTTAAAGATATTGACTGCTACATATCACATCTTTTTAAAATTTTTCTAATTTATATCAAAAGGCTGGTGGCCGTGGCAGGGTAGTTCAGTTGGTTAGAGCATTGTCCTGATACACCAAGGTTGTGGATTCTATCCCCTGGTCAGGGCACATGCGAGAATCAACCAATGAAGGAGTAAATAAGTGGAACAACAAAATCAATGTGTCTCTCTCTCCACCACCTTTCTCTCTCCCTCAAACCAGTCCATTATTTTTAAAAAACTGGTTATGGCAAACTTCTGGAATTTTAGAAATATGAAAACACAGTAGCTCTACCTTTGATCTCCACCAAAGGAGTGTGAACACTTTCACTTCTTTATATGAAACTAAGCATGGTTTTGTAATAAGGCTACTATCTTGGTATTAGTTTAGAGTAAATGTTTTATGAAACTGAACATCTAAAAATAGATTTCAATAAAGGAAAGAAAATTAAGTATGTAAAATTATGTCATTCTACATGAAATGTGATAGTCTGTCCAACCAAATCTAATTAAGTAGGGCTCACTTATGTTTGTACCTTTCACAATTTCTTACATACAATCATATCAATCAAAGTTTAGTGAGCAAATGATAGCTTCAATCCTGTATCACAGAAGTATTTGTTGTGTTTTTCAAGACAATCTGTTGCAACATAATGAGAATGTCCTGTTAGAAGATGTGTCTTCGAACAGAGAGATTTCCCTGCCTCCTGAGCCTCCTGATAATATAGTGGGTATGTTGAAATTTTCCTTTGTGTAGAAAGCGAACAGTTGGTAGTGTTCAAATGGAGCCTCGGGTCTTTTGAGTCTGTGTATCATATAGTATATCAAAACATAATAAAAAATGTCCCTCCAACTCTTAGTCTGACTCAAGACTGTGTAGAATAAGAAACTGGGTTCTGAGAAAGGTACAATAATGGTTATTTAACCAGTACTGGGTAGATTTCATATGAGAGCATGTTTAAATACTCTGCCAAAATATCGTGCTTTTGAATCACTAAAATAACATGTTACATGGTAAAAACATTATTAACTTCTGATATAAAATGGTTATTAATTATGTTAATGCCATACTATGGTTTGATAACCTATATATGATTGGAGATAAATTGTAAATGGGGGGCATATTTTCTACTTGAAATTTATGTAAGGTACCTCAAATGATTTGAGTTCTTTTAATTGGATTTTTAAAAGAATTAAATATATGAGCCCTGACTGGTGTAGCTCAGTGGATTGAGCACGGGCCTGCGAACCAAAGGATCACGGTTCGATTCCCAGTCAGGGCACATACCTAGGTTGCAGGCCAGTTCCCAGCAGGGGCCAGTTCCCAGCAGGGGATGCATGAGAAGCAACCATACATTGATATTTCTCTCCCTCTCTTCTTCCCTTCCCTTCTAAAGATAAATAAATAAAAATTTAAAATAAATAAATTTTTAAAAGAATTAAATATATAATTAGCCTCATTTTTATTTTTTTACTCTTTTTGACATTACATGTGCTCTCTAACACAATAGTGAAAATTTAAAATGTGAAACAAGATGGGCAATTAAAATTTCATTACAGTTTTTTGTGGGTCAACTAATAATTAAGTGATTTAACAGAATACAAAATTTTTAGCAGGCACACAGATTTAAACCAGTCATTTATCATGGTTGGTACCATGTTTTCACTTTGTGACTATAGTCACAGTCATATCAGAGTCCAGCCTTAGATGTCACATGTGCAAAGGAAGGTAATGACACTTGACTCACCTGGACACTGTAGGTCCCAGACTACGTGATAGCTGATCCTGCCCAACTCTATTAAATACATCATTCTGAGAATTCATATGTGGCTCTACTTAGCAACATAAATCTTCAATTAGTTTATCCTTCACTTAAATGATCATAGAGTCCTCTGGTTATTATTTTTCTAATTTTTATGGTGATGTTCATTGGTAGAACCAGATCACCCAGAATGTATACATCTACTAGAAAATGGAAGAACGTATGAAACCACATTATCAAATGAAGGGGAAGGATTTACCCTTGACCCCATTGATGCTTCAGGTGAGAGTCATTCATGTTTCTATTTTTATTTTTGATACCTACTATCTTACTTACAGTTAGATATTTGAAAAATCTATGAGGTACAATAAAAGGTAGTCAGTCTAGTAATAGCATTTGTAATAAAATAGGGGAAGAGTGTTAAGGAAGTTTGAGGTGGTCTTTTCATTCCATTCAGTTATGGTCAAAACATATTTCCAGTCTGGGAAACTGGAAAATTTTAAACTGAGTTCAGTAGTAGTTATTGAGCCATTACTCTGTATTGAGCACAAATGAAGAAGACATAGTTCCTGCTTTTAAGAAACTTAATATAAATATTAATGTATATAATATACAGGGCCTGGTAGAAGTAATGCCATTGAGTGTGGTTGGTAGGGTACATGAATATCTTGCATGCGATGGACAGCAATTTGAACATTTCACCTAAAATGTCATAGGGTATGCTCAAGTGTGATGTTGTTATGTTACAGAATTACATCCTTGTAATTTTGTAATAAAAGGTTTTATGTAATAAAAAGGGGCATTATTTATGCTGGACCCTATATATTATTATATACTAATATATATGTGTATATACATATACAGACAAGAGCAGTATGGTGACAGCCAGAGGGAAAGGTGGGCAGGGAGTTGGATGAGGGCAAAGTGGGGATAAATGGGGACAGAAACAGACTTTACTCTGGCCAATGGGTGCATGATACAGTGTGCAGATGATGTTTTGTTGAGTTGCACCCTTGAAACCTGTCTGGTTTTGTTAACCAATGTCACCTCCATAGACTCAATTAAAAAAATTCACAATCTGATCAGGAAATAAATAAACATGTAAATTAATATAAAATAAGGCAGAATAAAAGAATCAGAAGACAGGCACTCTCCTGACATTTAACTTCAAGTATGTTTTTAGGAATAAACAATAAATATGAATCTAATATGTAACCAGACTTTTAAAGAATGCACTAGTTTTAAGTAGTGTAATTGATCTGGATTTTAGTTTACAAACTCAGGCATGTAAAGAATAGAGCATTCATATTTTTTTTTTCTTTACCAAATTTAACCTTGAGCCTCCATTCCACTGGGCTGGCAAGAATTTCAGCCTACATGGCTCCATTATCCTGCCCTATGCTGTGTAGTGTTGCTGTGTAGTGTCAAAATTTGGGGGCAGTTTGTGGCAAGTGGAAGGGAACCTTTGGTCATCAGCCATACCAGTCCGTAGTGCCCACTGTCCCAGCCTGCATGGCCTCTGGAGTCATCACGCAGCCAGCCCCTCTGGGATCTCATGTTCCCAGGATTTTACTGAGGCCCATCAGCAAGCTGGTGCCTATTCCTTCTGGCTCCATCTGATCTCAGATTTTCACTCATTCTTGGAAATGTAATCCTCCCTCCCCTTTTGCATCTTTACTAAGGAAAAAAATGACTTCCACTTTCTACCTAGTAAAATTACCTATAGGCACGAAATCCCGTGGGCTACCCACTTGGACTTTGTATATGAATTTCAGTGAGGGAAAAATACACTGGACAAATACAAGTTATTGTTTTAAAAAGTTATTCTGCTATGTAGATATTTTAAGGAACCTCAGAATTCAGTGAGTTTCCTATCAATATACCCTCTGTTCCCCATTTCCTCTGTTGTCCACTGTGTAGGTCAACAGAGTCCTCCCTCAGAAACTTTGAGCAACACCTTACAAAATGTGTGAAGTCTTGGCTTCTCAGACACTCTAGTTGTGCAAAAACTTTGTCAACTGTAATTTTCAGTAGAGAGAATGGGATTTTCCTCTCTGTGCAACTCTGTAGGTTGAATTGTGGTCAATATTTCTTTGATATGCACTGCCTAGAATACCATTTTACAAAGTTGTACAACCAATCACATTTGTGCCTATTTCTTATATTTAGACATTGCTTGGAAGAGGAAAAGCAAAAAGAGGAAATTGCTCATAGATCCAGTCAAGGAGATCAGTAGCAAAATTATGCATAAACAACTTACTTCCTTTGCTGACACTCTCATGGTTTTGGAACTTGCACCGCCTACCCAAAAACTGATGATGTGGAAAAAGAAGGGAGGAGTCGATACACTTCTGTCAACTGCCACCCAGGATCTGACTCATAATGAACTGAAAATGGTAATAGCTTCCATACTTTTGCATGTGTGAGGTGTTTAGTTATAAACAAATAAATGCATATTTATATTCATATATTCAATAATTTAAACTTATGAAAAAATACCCCCTTATTTTGAATTAATTGGCTGGATATGTGTGCATGAATTATAATTTTCACTTTTTGGCATATGTGCTTATATTTTATTGAGTTGTTTTATTTGTACAGAAACTAGAAACAAAAATGTGTATTTTTGCAGTTGTTTACAAAATGCTTTCTAGCCTGTGGCTTTAAACTTGGAAGAAAATTGATGCAGAAGGAATCAGTAAGGGAAGAAATGAGAGGTGGAAACATAGAAGGTAAGACATCCTAATTTTGTTGATTTTGAGGAATGTTGTAGAAACAAAAAATTTTCATTTTGCATTACAAAATGAGGATGGAATCCATTTTCATATTCCCAACTATCAATGCTATCTCCAGAAGAGTATTTGAATTTAAAAGAAATGTTATAGCATCATTATATTTTTCTGCTTTGCAGATTAATTTTTGTCCACAAAGCTGCATTAAACAGATAGTTTATATACAAGGTGCACCATACTTATTCTCATGCTTTCCTACTTCCCACGCCCCTAAAGGCAGTATTCGAAAACCTTCAACAAAGAAAATTTTGGTACCTAGTAAGATAATATTTCGCTTTAAAACAACTAACATGAAAAGTCACCTGGTGAATAAGAATAGCATTTAAACAATACAATTAACCTGAGACAGATATTTCCATATACCCAGAGGTTACACAGGGTATTAATAATTGCTGATTATTATTGTGACTATTATAAAGAAATAATGAAACCAACCTATGTGGTGAGTGAGCCTCTGCTTCCTAATAACCCTTCCTGAAATCATTAAAATCTGCCAAATGATATGCCAAGGGGGACTTGAACTACCCATGTTGTCTTGTGAGTAAATGTATGGGTGTGAGTGCTGAGGAGGGCGGTGGTGGAGGACGGGAAGTGGAGGTGACAGGGGCAGATGTGGGGAATGGGAAGATAAATATGTGAGATTTGGGAGCTGTAGAGAGTTTGTATACCCTCTGCTTAAATGGATTCCAGTGCCAAAAGTTTCCTTTTGTAACAATCATATTCTAATTTAAGTTGAAAAGATATTTTGATAAAATCTTCTTTACTTCCTTAATAATTCAGAGACCTCTATGGTGAAAGATCTAAATTCCCAGCAAGAGTTAAATCAACCCAAAACTTGGAAGGATGTGATTAATGGTTCAAATGGTAGCTCTCATGAGGATACCAATAAAAATATTAGTTCTGAGGTAAGTTAACCAAAAAGAATAATCAAAATATTATTATTTTTTCTGACACAGATATAGTGAAGGAACATCGAGACTCTGATTAGTATTGTCTTACATTTTTATAATTTATCTCATCATCCTATAATTTCTTTAGTAGGTAGCAATACTACAGGGTAAAACATTATTTTCAACTGCAGAACAGTATTTTCTGGAACTTTAGGATAGTAACACACAAGATAAGTAGTTTCATATGGAAATGGTATTTTGCATAGTACATTAAATAAGTGATTGTACCTGAATCTGGTTATATGCTGAGGATACTCCTAGGCCCCACATTCAATATGTCATGGAGTTGTAGGAATCTAGACAATACACCTATATTTTGATTTTGATCATAAATTCACCCTTCCCAGCTATAAGAATAATGTGTTTTATTGTTCGGAAGCACTCTGCCTGGTTTTGGAAGCTGTAACCCCCCATGGCTAAAGCTGAGTAAAAAAATCCTGGGACCATAAGCCACTAAGGAGACAAAGCTTATCTTCCTGGCTGCAGCACTGCCTCTCTCCCCTTTACTTCACCCTGCCTGGCCCCCAAGTAGATGACTGGTTAGCCAATGACTGGTAAGATTCCTCAAGAGAGGGACGACCTAAGACAGACATGGTCATGATGGGGCCACCAGGGAAGGACTTGGGGGGGCTATAGAAAAAGAGGGTGATGGACCTTCACCCCTCAGCTTTGACATAGCCTGAGTCCTCATTCTGTCTGTGAGAAGTCTCCTAATCTCTTGGCTGCCTTACTTCCCCTGCCTGATTTAAACCTGAAACAATGCTGGAGGGTGGTGCAGCCCTGGGCGGGGATGGGCGGTTCCCCAGGGCGATCAGGCCTGAGAGAGAATTTATAAAATCCCATGAAACCTGCTTTGGTAAGAATGTTCTCAATTTTCTGATAAGGGTCCAAGCATAAAATGAGTTTGTTTCCCAAAGTTTTATGGCCCTTTAGCTAACCGACCCTGACTCAGAATAAGCCTTCATAGTTCTTTGAATGTTATCTATTGTTTGATCATTACTTCCTGACAATGATTGATGAGCTTTACTTGTATACCTGTGCAAGTTGAACCCAGTAACAACCCACTGAGGAACAGAGTCAAGGTCTTTCTTTGAGAGATTGGCCATCTTTCCTCCCCAAGCAGAATATGTCTTGGTAGACTTATTCTCACCCATAGTGGGTGGGGTCACTCTGTGGTGGAGCCCCCCACATTTTAGACCTACCAGTTACCTCAGTCTTGACTCTAAAAGACTATCTAAAGATCCATGACCAAAATTAAATTTTTTAAATAATTATTATTTGAAGACATAACTTTTATTTGAAAAACATAGTTATTTGAAAACATACTTGGAAACAATTTACTTTATAATATTTTCTCAATTGTTACTTTATTGATTGTACAAATGTAAATATTATAGCCATACCAGATAAAAATAAACCAGTGCTTTTCTAGTCTGTTTCATCATCACTGTACTTTGATAACCACTCAGGGAATTCAAAGTCAGTCCACATTGAAACCGAATGCCCTTGGAAGGAAAGACAACTTCATAATGCATTAAAAGAGAAAGTGTTTTACTAAATATTTGATAACATGCTAGATATTGAGATACTGGGTTGCCATTACTATTCTCCTCTTTATTTGGGCTCAGACATTTCTTAGAGTACAACCACTGAAAATTCTGATTAAGCAAGCTTGTTTACTTTATGACTTTTTAACATATTAACAAAATTGGGTTTTCCCAGGTGCTTGAAGTAAAAGAAAGAGATTGGTGCACTTGTTCTTTTGAACCTTTTGCTTTTATCCTCTGCTTATGCTTCAACCTTCAATTCCATTCTTATTCTACTTACAAAAATGGTGAACAGATGTGAAATATAGTCAGTAATGGGAGCACAGTCAGTTTGGAGAGGCAGGAAATACTGATTCTGATTTGTCATTTTCTATCTTCATAAAAGAAAATGTTCTTGTCAAGTAACTGCAAAATTGAGAGTATCTAAAATGTAGGATATTCATAGAAATTAAAAGAGAAAAACATGGTTTTCACAAATATGTATATTAAAGAATAAAATGCAACTCCTTATATTCACTAAAATTTTAAAAAGCTGAAGTGAAAAATTAAGTAAACTGTTGTAGGAAGCTTCTAAACTTAATCAAGATCAGAAATGACAGCTGGGGAAGGAAGCTTGGTGACAGGGTGAAGTGAAAATGGGTCTGACAGCTTCTATAGCAATGAAAAAGGGAGAAGAGGGGGAATGGAGAATTTCTGGCTTTCTCTTCTTCCTTTTCCCTTCATGTCTTTGCTCTGCTTCCAGATACAGTTTTTCTTCCCTTTTGCCAGTGACAGCTCCAGCACTGGTGGCAAGAGCCCTGTCGTGGCTGTAGGTAGGGATATTAATATCCCTTGCTTTGTATCACTGCCTCTGTTTGCAGATCTCCTTCTTCTGCCACCTGGTACTGGCATGAGAATAGAGGTAGGGAACTGGGGCTAGATAAAATGCTTCAAAGGAAAGTGGCCTCCGCCACATAGCAGCAGAGACTTTTGATATGAGAGCTGCAGAGGCAAACGAAACAGGAGTGACAAGGATAGGAAGCAATGGGGGAAGGGGCATAAGAGCTCTTCATTTGTGGGAGACATGGAAAAGAGGGATGTTTAAGTCAGAGGCTGCCTGCCTGGGATATGGTACTTTAAATTAGTTTTATAAATGAGCATGCATGTGATTAAAGCATTTATCAGAATGTTATTGTTCCTGTGATGACTACTACTACTGTGATAACTTACCTATTTTTTTCTAATTTGCTTTAGCAGGATATTGTTTCTTTGGCTGCTGAGGAATCCTCTTTAGTGAATGCCATCTCGGCACCAGAAATTGAAAATTGTCCAGTTGAATTGGCAAGTATATGTATAGTCTTGGAAATGTTCTTAAAAACTTTGTTCCTAAATGTTTAACACCTTCTTTACCTAAGCATTAGTTTTTAGAGCTGTTGTGTTACTTTTTGAAATTATAATTTATATTGGTGATCTCAACAAAGATGCGTATGAATGGTTTGATAATACATATTCAGAATTACTTTGACTTTTTATTTTGAAACTTCACATAATTCTAAAGGAAGGGAAGAAATTTTTATGCTTATCAAAAGTAGTCACAGATTTAAAATGTTGAGAATCACTATTTTAAGTTATTCTTATAACATCTCTAGAGAAACAGAGCTATATTAGGGATATGGCCCGGGGCACTTGAAATTTTACTTTAGAGGGCTTCCAGTCAAGATGGCAGCATAGTACTCACATCCTCCCGCAACCACATCAAAATTACAACTCAACTACAGAAGAACCATTGTTAAGCACTGCCTGAAATCTTCCTAAATGGAAGTCCTACAAGTAGGGAATTTAAAAAGCCACATCAAGACTGGAAGGAGAGGTGGAGATACGAAATGAGCTGGTCCCACACTTGTGTGGTAGATAAAAATCTGGAAGGAAATCTTGGCTGTAGAGGTCCCCCATGAGGAGCGAGGGGTCCCAGCTCCACACCAGGCCCCCAGCCCAGGGCTCTAGTGCCAGGAAGAGAAGTTCCCATAACTTCTGGCTATAAAACCAGTGGGGATTGAGGCTGAGTGAAACAGAGGCTTCTGGAGTCCCAGACAGTTCCCATTTAAGGACCTGTGCATGGATTTACTCATACTCACTTATTTGAGTTCGGGCACTGGGGCAGCAGCTTAAAAGGCACTGAAGACATGTGGGAAGGAACTGAATGTCCAGTATCAGGGTGAGAGCTGGAGGGGCAGCTTTCTCCCAGACAGAAGTGCTAGCAGAGACCACTGTTCCTTTGATGAGCCTTCCCTTGACAGAGCTGGCAGGCAGGCATCATCTCTGAGACTCCATCAACCTGGCTCACACTGTTTGCCCCACCCTGTTGATTCTCTGGGGCACTGCCCCACCCACTTCAGGCCCACCCTACCTGTTTCCAGTGGCTTTTTCATATGAATGGCCTGTCCTGGTTTATATTTCAGGTTTTCTTAAAATCTCTCAAACAAACAGCATCTTGCATGGTCAGAGTTAGCCTGTTCTGGGATAAATGAGCTCATCCCATTACTAATGTTGATTTTTGTTTTTGAATACATAGAATGCTATTTTTGAAATATAAAAAGCAATTGTCCAACTCTTTGTTAAAAATTCATGAGACTGAAGCTTCTCCCATACTGTACAACTAAACTAACCAGGAAAAGGCTCAGGAGAAATAGTGTGTGTGCTTTGCTGAAGCCTGTCCAATCGATCCATCTGGACACCCTACAGCTGAATCCATTGTGTGGAAAGCTCAGTGGATTATTAAAACAGCTGAACTTGTGCTGTGTTGTACTTTGCTTGACCCTGTATGAAAATAACCTGTGTCTATAGAGGCAAAGAGAAAGAGAAAAATGAATCAGCCCACTTCTGGCTCAGCTGTTTAAATGTTTCGGATAAAAAGTTCAGGTATTTATTCTGTCCTAGCTTACCCAGAGAATTCAGTCCTTTTTTCTCACATATGAAAAAAACAGTAATAGTCTTAGAGCTCATCATAATGATAATTTGCTTAAAAGCAAAAGTAATATCAGGCATTACATGTTTTGATATTATTTACTAAAAAAATGTCTAAAATTCATTACAGTCTTAAAATACCTTTATACTCTGGGACAAAAACTACAGACATAAAACAATACTATATATGGAATTAGTCAGGTCAGATGTTATTTCTAGCTTTGCTATTGACTTGTGGCCCTTTGAGCAGAAGTCATATATATAGATATGGGACTTGAGTCATACAATGTTTTAGAAAAAATACATTTTTTCAGGCTCATCAGCACATTTCTGTTCTCAACTCATAATGTTATAGTTGGTAAGGGCTTGGAGTGAATTCTTGTAAAGGGATTTCAATGTTACAATTTTTCAGTACTGAAGTGTTTCTGAAGATTTAAAGATTGAAAAGAATGAATCTATTCACATAACATGACAGGCAATTGGTTGATCTTCACCCTCAAAATCTGAGTTTTCTACCCCAATTGTATACAAACTACTAAATATCAGTTATTGTTAGAGCTTCTGTATTTCTAAGTTCAGATAAAGGCCTTTACAAGGCAATTTTTTAATAGTTTTATGTTTACTCCTGTTAACTGAGTTTAGATTGACCAGAGCTGGGATAAGTTCTGGCCACAAGTGATGGTCTTTGCTGCCTACTTTTCAAAGTAAGGGCCTGATGCCCTGGGATGCATTACCAGTAAAGACTGAAGATTCTCCTACTCTGGAGCCCCTGATCAGAAGATAGCCTGGGCAGATGACATGATACTCTACATAAAGAACCCTAAAGATTTTAGCAAACTACTGCTAGAGCTGATCAATGAATTCAGCAAAGTAGCAGTATACAAAATAAATATGCAGAAATCAGTTGCATTTATATACACCAACAGTGAACTATCAGAAAGGGAAACTAAGCAAACAATTCTGCTTACACTTGCATCAATAAAAGTAAAATAAAATAAAAAAATAAAAAATACCTAGGAATAAATTTAACCAAGGATGTAAAAGACCTGTACTCAGAAAATTATAAGACACTGAAGAAAGAAATTAAAGAAGATACAAATAAGTGTGTTCATGGATGGGAAGAATTACCATCATTAAAATGTGCATAGTACCCAAAGCAATCTATAAATTCAATGCAGTTTCTATTAAGATACCAATGGTATATTTCACAGAACTAAAATAAATATTCCAAAAATGTATAAAGAACCCAAAGATCCCAAATAGCCCCAGCAATGTTGAGAAAGAAGAAGAAAGTTTGAGGAATCAAGCTGTACTACAAGGCCATAGTAATCAAAAGAGCATGGTACTGGCATAAAAACAGACATACAGATCAATGGAACAGAATAGAAAGCCCAGAAATAAACTTATGCTTTTATGATTAATTAATATTTGATAAAGGAGACAAGAACATACAAGTGGGTAAAGGTAGTCTATTCAGTAAATGGTGTTAGAAAAATTGGATAGTTAAGTCAAAAAAAAAAGAAAAGAAACTAAACCACCTTCTTACACCATACATAAGAATAAACTCAAAACAAACTAAAGACTTAAAAGTTATACTCAAAACCATAAAAGCCCTAGAAGAAAACATAGGCAGTAAAATCTCAGACATTGCTCATAGCAATATTTTTTCTGGTATATCTCCTTGGGCAAGGGAAACAAAAGAAAAAATGAACAAATGGGACTACATCAGACTGAAAAGTTTTTCAGCAAAGGAAACCATCAACAAAATTAAAACACAACCTACTAAATGAGAGACCATAATTGACAATGATATATCTGATGAGTTAATATCCAAAATGTATGAAGAACTTATAAAACTCAACACCAAAAAAGCAAACAGCCCAATTTAAAAAAATGGGCAAAGGACCTGAATAGACACTTCTCCAAGGAGGACATACAGATGGCCAATAGACACATGAAAAGATGCTTCATGTCACTATCATCAGAGAAATGCAATTTAAAGTCACAGTGAGTTATCACCTCACACCTCCCAGAATGGCTATTGTCAGTAAATCAACAAACAAGTGTTTATGAGGATGCAGAGAAAAGGGAACCCTTGTGCACTGTTGGTTGGGATGCAGATTTGTGCAGCCACTGTGGAAAGCAGTATGGAGCTATCTTAAAAAATTAAAAATGGAACTTCCTTTTGACCCAGTGATTCCACTTCTGGGAACATATCTGAAAACACCTGAAACATTAATTTGAAAGAATACATGCACCCCCTATATTCATTGCAGTGTTATTTCTGATTAGTGATGTTCAGCATTTTTTCATATGCCATTGGCCATATGTAGCCCAAGTGACCATCAGTAAATGGGTGGATGAAAAAGCTGTGATTCATTTATACAATAAAATAATATTGATACTTGGCTGTAAAAAATAAGGAAACCTTAACCATTTGTGACAGCATGGATGGACCTGAAGAGTATTATGCTCAGTAAAATAAGCCAGTCAGAAAAGGCAAGTACCATATGATTTCATTTATATGTAGAATCAAATGAATAAAATAAACTAACAAACAAAATAGAAATAGACTTACGGATACAGAGAACAGACTGACAACTGTCAGAAGAAATGGGGGTTGGGGAGCTGGGTGAAAAGGTTTTTTTTTTTTTGTTTTTTTTAACATTTTATTTATTTATCTTTAGAGGGGAAGGGAAGGAGAGAGGGAGGACATCAATGTATGGTTGCCTTTCTGTAGAAAGGTTTTTTTAAAGCAAGGTCTTAATACAAATGAAACCTTTTTTATGTTTTTGTTGAGGCCAAATTCTACTAGGCATGATTATGAACAGTATGTGTAAAACTAAATACGGCAGTTTGTTTTTTGGTGTTTACATCAAAACAATTTTAATCAGAAATTCTTGTTTTTAATTTTTTTTTTTGCTTTTTTAAGCAAAAAAAAAAAACCCTCATAGACACAGACAACAGTATGGTAATCATCAGAGTAAAGGGGGTTGGGGGGGTGGAAGAGGTTAAGGTGAGGGTAAGTGGTGATGGAAGGAGACTTGGGGTAGTTAACATACAATACAAAATACAGGTGATGTATTATAGAATTGTACACCTAAAACCTATATAATTTATTAACTAATGTCACCTGATGAGTTCAATTAATTTTTTTCGTAAAAGATTACCTGGGGAGTATAGATGTAATCCTGCAACCTCTATGCTACTTTTATTCTCTCTGCTATCAGACTGTAAGCTCTTTATTTGGCAGGACCCACTGTTATAACTGTTTCTTGCAGCAGCGAACACCATGCCTGACAAATAGTAAACATTCACTAAATTTGCTTAAGTGAAATATTTTCTCAATCATTCAAACAGGAGTCACTGGGAAGTGAACAAAATGGTGAGGGGGAGAGATGGAACCAAAGAACACGTCAGATGTTAAACGCTTTGCAGGTAAGATGATAGAGTTTGTTAATCCTATTTTTATTTTTAAAAATAAGTAAACCATTGACTTCAGTTTTCTAGATATTAATAAAAATTAAACCATTTTTATTATGTTTTTGTTGAGGCTAAATTCTAGACATGATTATGAGCAGTATGTGTAAAACTAAATTCAGGAGTTTGGTTTTGGTGTCTACATCAAAAATTTTAATTAGAAATTCTTTTTTTTTAAATATATTTTATTGATTATGCTATTACAGTTGTCCCATTATTTTCTACCCTTTATTTCCCTCCACCCTGCATACCCTCTCCCACCAGCATTCCCCCGCCCCCTTAATTCATGTCCATGGGTCGTACATACATATAAGTTCTTCGGCTCTTCTATTTCCCATACTATTCTTAACCTCCCCCTGTCTATTTTGTACCTACCATTTATGCTTCTTATTCCCTGTACCTTTTCCCCCATTCTACCCACTTCCTCTCCCCACTGATAACCCTCCATGTGATCTCCATTTCTGTGATTCTGTTCCTGTTCTAGTTGTATACTTAGTTTTTTTGTTGTTTTTGTTGTTTTGTTTTGTTTTGTTTTGTAGGTCAGTTGTTGATTGTTGTGAGTTTCTTGTCATTTTACTGTTCGTAGTTTTGATCATCTTTTTCATAGATAAGTCCCTTTAACATTTTATATAATAAGGGTGTAGTGACGATGAACTCCTTTAACTTGGCATTATCTGGGAAGTACTTTATCTTCCAGTCTAAATGATAGCTTTGCTAGATAGAGTAATTTTGGATGTAGGTCCTTGCCTTTCTTGACTTTGAACACTTCTTTCCAGCCCCTTCTTGCCTGCAAGGTTTCTTTTAAGAAATCAGCTGATAGTCTTATGGGAACTCCTTTGTAGATAACTGTCTCCTTTTGTCTTGCTGCTTTTAAGATTCTCTCCTTATGTTTAATGTTGGGTAATGTAATTATGATGTGCCTTGGTTTGTGCTTCCTTGGGTCCAACGTTTTTGGGATTTTCTGAGCTTCTTGAACTTCCTGAAAGTCTATTTCCTTTGCCAGATTGCGGAAGTTCTCCTTCATTATTTTTTCAAGTAAGTTTTCCATTTCTTGCTCTTCCTCTTCTTCTGGCATCTCAATGATTTGGATGTTAGAATATTTAAAGTTGTCCTGGAGATTCCTTAGCCTCTCCTCGTTGTTTCTGAATTCTTGTTTCTTCAGCCTGTTCTGGTTGAATGTTTATTTCTTCCTTCTGGTCCAAACCGTTGATTTGAGTCCTGGTTTCTTTCCTGTCACTGTTATTTCCCTGTACATTTGCTCTTATTTCACTTTTCATAGCCTTCATTTCTTCCTCTATTTTGCAACCATACCCAACCATTTCTCTAAGCTTCCTGATTACCAGTGTTTTGAACTGTGCATCTGAGAGGTTGGCTATCTCTTCATCACCTAGTTCTATTTTTGGAGCTTTGATTTGTTCTTTCATTTGGGCCATATTTTTTTTTGTCTCCATGTGCCCGTTACATGGTAAGGGGTGGAGCCTTAAGGTATTTACCAGTGTGGGGCAACCCACTTTGCTGCACTGTGGCACTGTATGTGGGGGAGAGGTCCAAGAGTGACCAATGTCACTTGCTTGGCTCTTGGCTGGCTTCAAGTTACTTCTGCCACTACCCATAAGCAAATTGGGTCCTTCTGGTGCTGATTCCCAGATGGGTGGGTTGTGTAAGTTCTAGGATCCTGTGGGTCTTTCCAATGAACTCTTCTGTGAGGCTGGGAGTTTCTCCTGCTGCCACAACCTCCACAGTTCTTTACAGGTTTTGAGTCTTTCTTTTCCCTCCCTGGAACCCTGGGTTGAATGGTCTGTCTCACTCCCCAGTTGTTTATCTGCACACCAATGTGGGACTGCCTGGTCTGCCAGCCTCCACCTTGCCAAGAGCCCTCTCCACCCCAGCTGCTGGTCTCTGCCACTCTTACTGGTCTGGATGAATGTTTCTTATTTAACTCCCTAGTTATTGGGCTTCCATACAGTTTGATTTCCTTGCAGTTCTGGTGATTTTTTGTTTTTAAATTTTTGTTGTCCTTCTTTTGGTTACACAAAGAGGAAAAGTGTATCTACCTATGCCTCCATCTTGGCCAGAAGTCCTTAATTAGAAAGTCTAATTAATGTCTTATGCATACTCATGCCCCTAGACATCTATTTTATGTTTCATTCTCATTTTTAGCAGACTGCTAGTAAATATTCAATGTGGACCTTGGTTTATAACCATTTAAAAGTGAAATAGAATATTTAAATTTAACTGATATTTTTATCAAAATAATACATGTATGTAATTTTAAAAGTTTAATAGTACTATGCTGAAAAGGAAACACATAAGTCCTTTGCCCTGCCCCTTCTTGTCACTAAGTCCTGCTCACCAAAAGCAACTTTATTAAAAGTTTCTTTTAGCATTTATATCCATATTTCTGATGACTTATTTTACTGTTTTTTCTTGATAGTTTAGAGTTAAATTTTATTTATTACTTCTTTCAACAGAAAAATGAAAATTCAGCTTCATTACATCTCTCTCTTCCTCAGTGTATTTTTAACACAGTATTCAGTGCTCACAGTGTCATAATTTTAATAATTATGGAGCATGTTTAATTGTGACAGAAAGCGAAAATATCAGTGACTTAAAAAGATGGTTCACTTCTCCCTCCTGTAAAAGTACAATCTGGTGTGGCAGCTATGCTCACGAAGTCCTCAGAGACCCACTCTCCACCCCATTTTCATTATTCTCAGGGTCTGAAAGGACTAACTACCCACCATGCCTGCATTCCAAGCAGCAGCAAAGTTCTTTGAAGGGCACAGTGTAGTTATTGTGTGTACATTTCTCTCATTTCACTGACTAGCACTTAGTCTCACCTTGCCACGTGTCGCTGGGAAATGCAGTCCTTCTCTGACAACCTGAGGCCCAGGTCACACTTCTGTTGCCGTGGAATAGGAGGAGAGTGGACATCAAGGAACAGCAAGCAGTTGCTGCCCAAAGGCTATGTCAAAATTAGTTCACATCAAAACTTCGTAGTGTAATTGCATTTCTTTTCTTGTCAACTTTATGGGGATTGGGGACAGGGGGAGAGTTAATCATTACTTCAGGTTTTCATTAGCCTAGTGTCTAATACCCATCTCAATTCTCTCTCCAAACTCTCTGACACCATAATAAAACCCCTTTTAATACAGGCAAATATATCAATTAGTTTATCAGTTCTACTCTCCTTTTCTTGAAGATGTCCCCTCTGGAGCTCACCATCCTGTTGTTCTAATCTGAATTAGTTGCTCCCTAGGTCTGCTCCACAGTTTTTGTCTTGGGTCATTTCTTTACCATAACATGGGATTCCCTTGTCTTTTCCCTCTATTAGTGCTTCTGCTTCCTGGTACTTTGATCTTCCTTGGTTAACATCCTCTCCTAATTTCCTTAGGTAAAGAGTGCATAGGAGTCCTGGCTGGGAGGAGCTCCGTTGGTTGGAGCATCCACCCACCAAAAAAAAAAGGTAAAGGTTGAAGGTTCAATCCCCAGTCAGGGCACATAGGGAGGCAACCAATAAATATTTGTCTTTCATGTAGGTGACTCTCTCTCTCCCTTCCTCTCTCTCTAAAATCAATAAGTATATCTTCAGGTGAGGATTTTTTTTAAAAAGTGTGCATAAGACACCTTACATACAAGTCTGAAAATATTTTAATTTTACCTTTAACTTGTTTGGTATGTCTCTGAACGTGGTTTGAAAATATTATATCTCAAATGTTGAAGGCTTCGTAACATTTCTGGGCTTCTTGGTTGTTACTGAAAAGTCAGGTGCTGCTTGGTTGGTGATCCTTTGTCAGTGACCTTTATTTTCACACAGGAAGCTCTTAGATATTTTATTTATCCCTATCCTGGAATTTCATGATGATGTACTTTGGCATTTTTTTAAATTGGGCTGAGCATATAGTAGGTTCTTTATTCTGAAAATTCATATCCTGAGTTCTAGAGAATTTTTGTATTTCTTGGATTTCTTCCTTGTTCTCAGTCTATTCTCTCTTTCTGGATTGCCAGATGGGACCAGATGAGTCAGATCTTGGATCTCCTAAATTGCACCTTTAATTTTTTTTAAAAATTCTTGTATCTCCTATATTAATTTCCTTTGTTGGTTTTTTCGACTGTCTAGAAGATTTCTTCAACTTTATCTTCCAGTCTATTGAATTTTATTTCTGCTTTTCCTTTTTATGTTTTCCAAGAGTTTTTTTTCCTAGGTTTTAGTTATTCTTTTGTTTTATAGCATCCCAACCTTTTTATTTAGTTAGTTTCAACAGCTTGATTGAGGTATGACTAATATACAATAACCCATACCTATTTAAAGTATCTGGCTAGATAAGTTTTGACATACGAATACCCTGTGAAACCATCACCACAATCGAGATCGTGAACATATGTACAATCCCAGCAAGTTTCCTTGGGCCTCTTGATAGTGCCCTGTCCCGCCTCTCCCATCCCCAGGCAAACCACTGCTCTGCTTTCTCTCTGTCTCATCCTAATCATTTTTCACTGATGCAGTGTCTTTTCTTAACTTTTAGATGATATAGGTTTCTTGGGCTCCTTGCACTATCTGCATTTCCTTAGTAATTCTTTTGAATTCATTGTTTTTTGCTCTCGGACTTTAGAAATTTTACTGAAGTGTCTGGCAGACTTTGGTTATCTGTTTTTATTTAAGAGTGATCACCCAAAAATCTGATTGGAAGTTATAAATGCATGAGTGCAGCTTGTAGGTTTGTGGTCTTCACTGCAAGGTAGGTAGGTAGTCCTCCCTCCCTGGCCCTGCAACAGATGTCTTTATCTGCAGGTGTTTTTTCCTCACAATGGACAGTTTTCCCAGCTTAATCTTCACATCTACTGCCTAGGAGATATAAGCATGCTGTCCATGGTCTGGGAACCAGAAGTGGGTCAGGGAGAGGCTGGCTCTCTCCTTGTTTAGGGTGTAGAATTTCACTTAACCCCCTTGTTTCTGGTCTGACACTTCTCTACCATCCACAGCGCCTGGTGTCCTGAGGCTCAAGTCTCAGTGGTTCTTATCTCTAGAAAAACACTTTCCTGTCTCTTTCATTTTAGAGGGTTTTCTGAAGGAAACAGGATAAACACGTGTGTTTAGTCTCGCACATTTGCCCCCTTGGGGTATTTTTCAAAAGGATTGTTGAACTTGGAAAGACTGTCCCTGATCTCTCCCAAAGAAATAGTCTTGCTAGGGTATGGGAGTCGCCTGTCTTGGTTCAGTGAAGTGGTGCAGGGCTCCTGAGGGTCTCACTGTTGGCAAGACGACTTTCAAGAAATTCTCCTGTTTGCTGCTTCACCCCCTATCTCCAGCTTATCATATACAGTTACTTCTAATTCCTGAGCTTTCCAAAGGCTCTGTAGCTCAAATTGGCTTCCTTTTTTGTTGGCTGTCTTCCCTGTTGGCACTAGTTTCAGCTTTGTCCACTCTGCTAAGTCAGCTAGTCTTGCCCTTTCTTTGTCTTTATCTCCTCTCTTTGTCACCTTTTATTTTTTTAAATATATTTTCTTGATTATGCCATTACAGTTGTCCTATTCCCCCCTTCACTCCCCTCCACCCTGCACACCCCTTCCCGCCCATTTCCCCCATTTAGTTTATGTCCATGTGTCACAAGTTCTTTAGATTTTATATTTCCCATACTATTCTTGCCCTCCCCCTATCTATTTTCTACCTACCATCTATGCTACTTATTTTCTGTACCTTCTCCCCACTTCTTCTCCTCCCACTCCCCTGTTGCTAACCTTCCATGTGATCTCCATTTCTATGGTTCTGCTCCTGATCTAGCTGTCATCTTAGATTGCTTTTGTTTTAGGTGTGGTTGTTAATAATTGTGAGTTTGCTGTCCTTTCACTGTTCATATTTTTTTATCTTCTTTTTCTTAGGTAAGTCCCTTTAACATTTCATACAATAAGGGCTTGGTGATGATGAACTCCTTGAATTTGATCTTATCTGAGAAGCACTTTATTTGCCCTTCCATTCTAAATGAAAGCTTTGCTGGATAGAGCAATCTTGGATGTAAGTCCTTGCCTTTCATGACTTGGAATACTTCTCAGCCCCTTCTTGCCTGTAAGATCTCTTTTGAGAAATCAGCTGACAGTCTGATGGGAACTCCTTTGTAGGTGACTGTCCCCTTATCTCTTGCTGCTTCTAGGATTCTCTCCTTCATTTAAATCTTGGGTAATGTAATGATGATGTGCCTTGGTGTGTTCTTTCTTGGGTCCAACTTCTTTGGGACTCTCTGAGCTTCCTGGATTTCCTAGAAGTCTGTTGCCTTTGCCATATTTGGGAAGTTCTCCTTTATTATTTGTTCAAATAAGTTTTCCACTTGCTCTTCCTCTTCCCCTTCTGGTACTCCTATAATTCGGATATTGGAACGTTTAAAGATGTCCTGGAGGTTCCTAAGCCCTCTCCTCATTTTTTTGAATTCTTGTTTCTTCATACTTTTCTGTTTGGTCATCTTTTTCTTTCTTCTGGTCCACTCCCTTGATTTGAGTCCCAGTTTCCTTTCCAATACTATTGGTTTCCTGTGCATTTCCCTTCATTCCAATTAGTTTAGCCTTCATATGTTCCTCTAATTTGTGACTAAAATCAACCAGTTCTGTGAGCATCCTGATCACCAGTGTTTTAAACTGTGCATCTGATAGGTTGGCTATCTCTTGGTCGCTTAGAATTATTGCCTCTGGAGCTTTGAGCTGTTCTTGAGCCATAATGTTTTGGTCTGTTTGTGCCTGTTACATATGAGGAGTGGAGCCTTAGGTGTTCACCAGGGTGGGGTGACCCAGTCACTGGGTTGTGACGGGGTCTGGCTGAATGGTTCGTTGTTGTCAGACTTCAGTACAGTTCAATTTTCTGTGTTTGGCTGCATTTTTGTTATTAAAACTTTATTGTCTTTAAACTTGGTTGTCTGAGGAGGCACAGTGTTTCCACCTCCACCTCCATCTTGGCCGGAAGTCCTTATTTCTTTTCCTTCATTTTAGAGGTGTTTTTGGAGGGAACAGGACAAGCACATGTGTTTAGTCTTGCATATTTGTCCATAAAGGGTGTTTTTCCAAAGGATTCTTGAAATTAAAGGGGTATCCCTGCTCCCTTCCAGGAAAAAAGCCACCCAACCCACATCTGCTGGGGAGGCACCATATTTCCTCAGGAGTGGGAATGAGTGAAGGCTTGTCAGGCCATTGCTGAATGGCCGCCAAGATTGGGCCACCCTTTGGTTGAGATAAAGTGTGATAAAGTATCAACTTATTAATTTGTTAAATGTTATAAACTGGTAGGAAAAAACTTGTATATCACATTTCTAAAAGTGCTTCACAACTGTTTGGGGGGCACAGTACTCACAGGGATATGGACCAGTATTCATCACAGTATTATACTGAAAAGTCACACTTCTGATGCCAAGTACCAGTCTCATAAAAGGAGTTATCTTCATTCATAATTGAACACTTTACTGGACCTCAACTTTTTGCAGTAGGTTCACAGGTGCCCTATGGCAAATCCAACATCTTTTAACTTGTGCGAAGAACTGAGAGATGTTTATAAAGTGATACTGCCCTGCCGTAGAGGTGTACAAATATAATTCTACATTTAACACTAGAGTTTTGTATTCAACGCTTCCACTCTGCAGTACCTTTGAGAAAAAGGAGTCTGGTAGGCTCATAATCTTCATTGCATTTAAGCCTCCCAAGTCCCGTGGACTTTTTTATCCCTATAGGTCTAAATTAATTGGAGCCGTTTATGTTAACATCAATTTTTTAAGATTTTTATTTGTTTTTAAAACTAAATTGTTAGCAGAATAGTTTTAGATTTACAGAAACATGGTAAAGACAGTGGAGCAAGCTCTCATGCACCCCACAGCCAAAGTCCCGTGTTAGTCACATCTTGCACACTCGTCACAATTGGTCAGCCAATATTGAAACATTATCATTAACCAAAGTCCATACTTTGGTCAGATTTCTTAATTTTTTTTCTGTTACAGGATCCCATCGAGGATACCACGTTACATTTAGTTTAACATCAGTTTCTTTAATGACATGACATTTGTATAGCACATTAAGCATTTTCATAACACGTTAGAGTTCCTTTGCATGCATTTTCTCAATGGCCCGAGCTTGTGATCCGTGGCCTGCATGGCTTTTAAGCTTACTAAATAGTCATTTGAATTTCTCCATTTAAGGATTTTGCAGTCACTTATCAAAAATGTCAATGTTTTGTTGTTCATTATACACCCACCTACTCTGCTTTTAATTATCTTGTCTCCCTTTCCTTTCCTCTTTTCTAATTATTTTCCCAGGAATCCAGCAAGGCAGGAATGAAGCGCTTCAGTCTGATGACTCTCTGCAGAAATAGTGACCGGAAACAAGCTGCTGCCAGATTTTATAGCTTTCTTGTTCTGAAAAAACACCGGGCTATTGAGCTGAGCCAGAGTGCCCCCTATGCAGATATTATAGCTACAGTGGGACCCATGTTCCATAAAATATAAAGGGAATCCCAAACCTGCAGATTTGTGTCATCACTGAAATTTCTTATAGCTTGTTTGGTTTAATGCAGCCGCTGTCTGCAAGCAGCTGAAGGTCTGATCCATTTCATAAGCAGGTTAACCTACCATTTCTTCTTTGTAAGTTCTGAACAATCATAGCCAGAACTGGAAACTTATATGCTTACAGAAGTACTGAATTATAGCTAAGTAATAGTTTGTATCCTCACCCAAGGACATTCTTAATGATTTTAGAGAGAGCAGATGGAAGAGAGAGGGAGAGAAACATTGATTGACTGCCTTTCACCTGTGCCCCGACTGGGACCGAACCCCAAACCTAGGCATGTGCCCTGATTGGGAATTGAACCCAAGACCTTTTGGTTTATGGGACAACACTCCAACCAACTGAGCCACACTGGCCAGGGCTAGCTAAGTAATATTTTAATTTAGCTGGCTTGAATGTATAGCATTTATTACCTCCCTGACTTGAATGCTGCATTTCAAATACATTTTGTTAAATACTACATGTCTTCAAGAAACATTCAAGGATGTTATTAAAAGGCTATCTTACATTGGATTATTTACTTAAAAGTTATGGGATTAATTAATAATTAACACTTCCTTATTTCTCCACAGGCAATAATTATTTAATTCAAATTCACATCATCCTTGATTTGACGTAGTGCCATGGTTTTTAATCTAATATCTTAATTGAAGAGTTATAAAATTCATCTTCATTTTAAGTTATCTGAGGGGCTTTCAGTCCATTTATAGGTCATTAAGCCTTTTTATTCACTCTTTAATGATTATTATAACCACCATTCATGTGTCAGCAAAATTAAGTATGTTTCTTATGTTAACAAATTAGCATAGTGTCTACAGATGGGATTCAAGTCACTGAAATAAATGTTCTCTTACATGGTGCTTATTGAACACTTTTTACAGTAACACTATTGTTCTTCTTTTTCCTTATTTGAAGTTTGTTGGGAAATGTTCATACAGTGCTCTGGGAGCTCCCTAATACACTGTACAATGAAGCCTGTGGTCCTCTCTAAAACCCTGGTGTGCTACAAATGGGATTCTAAATGACCTCTTTGAATGCATCAGCTGTAAGATTTAAATGTCCAGTTGCCTTTTTAAAAATGTATTAGTTTTTTTAATTCTTATACAGAAAAATTGACTTTCTCATTTTGGTGCACAGTGCTGTCAGTTTTTACACACAGGTGGACTCCTGTACCCACCAGCATAAGCAGGACACCAAGAGTACTGTTGTCCCAAAACACTGCCTTGCGCCAGCCCTTCGGACTCAAGCACCTCCCCCATTCTAACTCCTGGCAGCCTCTCTTCCACACGAATATAGTTTTATTCTTATTTTTCCCTTGTCACGTAAATGGAATCATATAGTATGTAACCTTTTGGAGTCTGGCTTATTTCACTCAGTGTAATGTCTTTGAGATTAGCCCAAATTGTTACACATGTTTATTGCTGAGTATTATTCTGTTGTCTGGATATCCCATAGTTTATGTATCTATTTATCCCCTGAAAGACACTTGTTTCCAGTTTTTGACAATTATAAACATGGGTGCTACATAACATACACTTGTGTCAGTTATTGTGTAAATATGTTTCCATTTCTCTAGAATACGCATCTAGGAGTAAGGTTGCTGGGTCATATGGTAAGTGCATGTTCCACTTTATAAGAAATTACAAAATTATTTTCCAGAGTGGTTGTACCTTTTTGTGATCACACTAGCAATGAATGAGAGTTTTCACTTGACTTTCAGTTTGCTCTTTATTTTCAGATAATTGTAGGCTCACATGCAGTGTAAAAAATAACACAGCAAGATCCGTGTGCCCTTCGTCCAGTTTTCCCCAAAGGTAACATCCTGCGTAATTATAATATGGTATCACTGGAAATTCACATTGATACAGTCCACGCACCTCATTCATATTTCATCAGTTTTGCATGCACTTATTTGTTTGTTACTGAGGCCATGCAATTTTATCACCTGTGTAGCTTCATGTAGCAGAACAGGAGTCCCATCGCCGGGATTGCTCGTGCCTCCCTTTTGAGTTCACCGCCGCCTCCTTCCATTCCCCTCCCTTGCCCCTGACAATCACTAATCCGTTCCCCATTTCTATAACTTTGCCGTTAATACAATGGACCTTTGTAGATTACTTTTGTATCCTGAGACCTTGCTGAACTCACGCATTTCTTCTAGGAGTTTGTTTTTCTATAGATTCCTTGGGATTTTCTACCCAATCATGTTGTCCACAAATAGAGACAGTTTCATCTTATTCTTTACCACGCGTCCCCAATGCAAGGAGGGACACACTCACTCTTTGCCCATGAAGTATGTTGTTAGTTACAGTATGTTGTTACAGCTGCTTGTGTGTGGGGGGTGTGTAGGTAATTTTTATCAGGTCGGGGGATGTTTCTTTCTATTTCTATTGCTGAGAAGTTTGTGGATTTTTTTAAATCATAGAAGTATGTTGAATTTTAATTACTTTTCATAGATTGATTGGATCATGAGGTTTTTCTTCTTTAGACTGTTAATAGGATGGATTTTTAAGTTTTTAACCAGTTTTGCATTTCCAGGATAAACTTTACTTTGTTGTGGTATTATTATTTTTATGTATCACTGGCTTCAGTTTGCTAATATATTTCAACAGCTTTATTGAGATATAATTCACAAAGCATAAAATTCACCCTTTTTAAAGTGTTCAGTTCATGGCTTCCGGTACACTTACAGTATTATGCACCCATGACTGTTACCTAGTTGTAGAACATTTTCATTATCCAAAAAGAAACCTCATGCTCCCTAGCCATCACTCCGCACTTCCTCGCTCCCTATAGCTCCTGGTGGCCACTACCTTTCTTTCTGTCTCTGGCCTTTTGAATCTGCCTTCTTTCACTTAGCATAATGTTGTTAAGGGTGATCCATGTTTTAGGGTATATTGTGCTTTGTGGGTTTTTTTGCGGCCAAGTGAATATCCCATTACGTGGATATACGTTTTGTTTATCCATTCATCAGTTGGTAGACCTGTGGGTTGTTTTCCACTTTCTGACGATTATTAATAATACTGTTATGAATATTACTATATAAGTTTTTGTATGTATATGTTTTCACCTTTCTGGGATATATATCTAGGAATGCAACTGCTGATGTATCATGTGATACCATATGTATATGATAAGTCGTGTTTAACGTTTGAGGAAAAGTGGCTGCATCACTGTGTGTTTCCACCAGTAACACACGAGAGTTCCAATTTCTCTGTACCTTTGCTGGTGCTTTTGTTATTGACCCTTTTTTTGGTTATAGTAATCCGAGTGCATATGAAGTGGTATCTCATGGTTTTGATTTGCAGTTTCCTAGTAGCTAATGACGTTAAGCATCTTTGCTAATATTTTGTTTAGGATTTTTGCATCTGTGTTCATGAGGAATACTGGTCTGTATTTGTCTTTTCTTGTAGTGTCTTTTTCTGAGTTTTGGTATCAGGGTAAAATATAAGTAACTTGGAAAGTGTCCCTACCATTTTATTTTTTGGAAGAGACTGTGTAGAATTGGTGTTATTTCTTTTTTAAAAGTTTGGTAGAATTCACACACGAAGCCATCTGGATCCAGAGATTTATATTTTGGAAGATTTTAAACTATGAATTCAATTTTTAAATAGTTGTTGAGCTATTCAGTTACCTATTTCACTTGCTGTGAGTTTTGGTAACTGTGGTTTGCAAGGAATTATTCCATTTCGTTTAAATTAATGATTATGTATATGGTTGTTAGGAGTCTTCTCTTATTCTCTTTTTATTGTCTAAGTCCACAGTGATGATCCTTCTTTCATTCCACGTACTATTAATTTATATCTTTTAGTTCTTTCTCTTTTCAGTAGTTTTAGAGGTTTACTAATTTTATTGGTCTCTTCAAAGAACCAGCTTTCAGTTTCATTGATTTTTCTCTTTTTTTTCTTTTGTTTTCCTTTTTTCCATTTTACTGATTTCTGCTCTGATATTTATTTCCTTCCTTTGGCTTGCTTTGGATTTATTTTGCTTTTATTTTTCTAGTTTTCTAAAAAGATTTTATTTATTTATTCTCAGAGAGAGGGCAAGGGAAGGAGAAAGAAAGGGAGAGAAACATCAATGTATGGTTGCCTCTCACTTCACCCCATGCTAGAGACCTGGCCTGCGACACAGGCATGTGCCCTGACAGGGAATCGAACTGGTCACCTCTTGGTTTGCAGGCCAGCACTCAATCCACTGCCAATCAAAACAGCCAGGGCTATTTTTCTAGTTTGATTAAGGTGGAAGCTTAATTGATATGAGACCTTCCTTCTTTTCTAATATAAATGCTTAACGGTATATATTTTCCTCCAAAAACTGCTTTCGCTTTTAAAGATTTTATTTATTTATTTTCAGAGAGAGGGGAAGGGAGGGAGACAAAGAGAGGGAGAGCAACATCAATGTGTGGTTGTCTTACACGTGACCCCTACTGGGGACCTGGCCTGCAACACAGGCATGTGCCCTGACTGGGAACTGAATCAGCAACCCTTTGATTCATAGGCCAGTGTTCAATCCACTGAGCCACACCAGCCAGGGCTGCATTGCATAAATTTTGATATGTTGTATTTTCACTTTTGTTCAATCCAAAATATTTTCTAATTTTCCTTGAGACTTCCTCCTTGACCTGTGGAGGAATTATTTAGAAGTATATTGTTTAATCTCCAGCAGAGATTTTCCTATTCTTTTTCTGTAATTCGTTTCTAGTTTATGTCATTAAAGAACATACCTTAAATGATTTTGATTCTAAATTTACGTAAGGTTTGTGTTATGACCTAGAATAGAATCTGACTTGGTAGGTGGAATCCTCCTACCAATTCTGGGTCCAGCTGGAATAGTTGAACATTTTTTAGAATTCCGTTTTAATTTATCTGTTTATTTTTACTGCATCTTTTGTTATATTTTTACACGAGTGCTCTAAGAAATAAATACAAAACGCATGCTTACCTTTTCACATTCTACTTTGAATCAGTATTTGACCACTTCCAGTAGAGTGTAGGAAGCTTGCAGCATGTGAGTTCCTTTACACGCCCTCCTTTATATGCTGTTGTCTTATGTTTTAGATTATGTACATCGAAAGCCCATCAGACAATGTTGCAATTTTTTCTTTCAACTGTCCAACATACCTTAAAGAATTCAAGAGGAGAAGAAAAGGCTATTAAATCTACTCAAATATTTACCATTTTGATTGTTCTTTCTTCCCTTCTGGATGTTCCAAGTTTCCTTTTAATATAGTTTCCCTTCTAACTAAAGAATTTTGTTTAGCAGTTCCTTTAGAGCTGGCAATGAATTCTCTTAGTTTTTCCTTATTTGAGAATGTCTTTATATTTCCCAGAGGGTATTTTCTCTGGGTGCACAATTCTGCTTGACTACCCTCTTCTCTCATCAGTTTAGATTTCTTCCCCCGTTGTACTGCTGCCCTGCATGGTTTCAGCGAGAAATTTGGTTATTCAAATCACTCCTCCTGTATAATTAACACATCATTTTTCTCTGATCGCTTTCGATATTTTTTCTTCGTTTTTAGTTTTCAAAAGTAACCGGAAGTTATTGCTTTTTCTATTGTATCATTTGGTTTATCCTCTTTGGCATTCACCAGAAAGCCGGAGCCCGGAGCCTCACTACTCTGCTCTGTTTCGCTGCCTTCTCCCCACAGTTGACCCTGCACCTGGAGCCAAATGGTGGGGGACAGAAAGACACACAAACAGCAGAGGCTCATCCTCTCCCAGCACCAGAGCTACTCCGATGGAGAAGCTTCTCCTCCCTCAGGAGGGAGGCCCCTGTGGGTCCCTGTGGTCACAGCCACCACTGCAGCGTTGCCTGAAGGGTCATGAGACAACAGAGAAAAGACTGGAAAAGAAAAGAAAAACTATTTTCCCCACTCCCCCTGAGCATTTGGGGTCTGCTTTCCTGATCCTCACGTCAGAACTAGGGAAACTTTGAGAGCCCTCTTTGTGTTGATTATTCTACAGTTTGGCTGCCTTGATCAGACCAGGGATATCGGAGGAAACAAAAATTCAGTGGTAAATCAAATTTTGGCCTTCCCCAATTTGCCTGCTAGTATTTTCTCTTCAGAGTCCTCAAGTAGTTGTTCTATGCGTTTTGTTCAGGTTCTGCTGCTGCATTCACTGGGAAGGATGTGCTTAGCCAAAACCAGAATCAAAATTGCCTTGAAACTAAACAAATTTAAGTATTTTCTGTTTCGTATGAAACAAAACTACTGAGTTTTTAGAATAATTTTGTTTTATGCTTAAAATGCTCATTTGTTGCGATTTACATTGTAACTGAACACTGGTACTTCCGACCACATGCTTGATGATGAGGAGGAGCGGGCCCTGTACCAGCTCCCACCGTTCTGGAGGGAGAATTGTGGGCGGAGGTGCTTGTAACTTAGGGAAGTTCCTTGTGGAGGTTGCTGGGAAATGTAGTCTTCTAGGTACTGAACCAAAACAAACAAACATGGGGATCAGACAAAAAAGTATATTTTTAACCAGAATCTCAGTAATTATCTCCTGATAAACAAACAGTAATTCCACAGCTTCCTTTGGTTTTACTTTAAGTATAAAAAATGTTGCTTATATAATTTAGGTGGGCCCGAGGGCAGAAAAAAACATTTAATTAATTAACTTGGACAATACAACATTAGGGTTTTTTTAGACAGCGGGCTTTATTTCACGTGGCTTTTTCAACTACAGTTTCCTATTCCTGCTGCAACTGCTCTCCATGTTTTCCCACAAAGCATAATGTGCTGATGGACATTGGCCCTCCGATTAGAACATTCGATTTAATTGAACAGAGGGAGAAATATAACCAATGATGTATAGGCCTTTGTTGCAAGAGTATAGGCATTATATTGTTATAGGCATCATAGGCAAAGAGTGATTTATCACAAATCAGGGCTACAGAAAAAGATTCACTTTTGAAAAGTCACAATTAATTGAATATTCATTTTATTTAACTATTAATTCTCTTTCACGTGCATTAGAAATAGTAACCAAGCCGGTATTGCAGAGTCACCATATAAAATCAGTGAAGTCACTTTACAAGTCCTCTGGAAAAGTCTGCCTAGGGAGAAGGGTAGAGGGTCCCAAGTGCATTCTTGCTGCAAGAAGACAGAGACTCAAGGACCTGGTGTTGGTACGGAAGACTAGTGCCCGGCACCATGGTGCTTGCTCACTCGTTCACTTCGTCAATATTTATTAAACACCTAAATAAGTGTTGGGCACTATTCTAGGCACTAGGGACACAGTAGTAGAGGAGAAAGAAAGTCCCTCCCCTCACAGAGTGTACATTCTAGTGGGCGTGACCGTGACGGACTAACAAATAGTATACTACACATCAGCTGGTGGAGAAATGCAGCGAAATAGGGCAGAAGGAGAGGGGAAGAAGGGCAGTGCGAAGGCCTCTGGGGAGCAGCGACACTGGACAGGGATCTGGAAGAGGTGAGGGGTGGCTCTGAGCAGCGGAGGGACTGATCCCATCGCCAGGGCTGCTTCGGAAGGAGGTAGCCCCTGCCCACTGCTCCCCACTTCCCACACGGGCACCGCCTGAGAAAGCAGGCCCGGAGAGCGGCCGTCAGGAGAGAGGCTGGACAGGGAGATGCGGACACCCCTGCTACCCAGCAGCTAAGAGAGGGAGGGCGAGGCAAGGACTCCGGTTTTCTGGGCTTTCCCCCACGTTTCCCTCTGGTTTCTCCTGTGATAGTGGTGGGAGACTGAGGGAAAAGCTGTTTCACCGACATTTACTTTAGATTGTGATTATGTACATTTCCATCTTTCCAATGGTTCACCATCCTAACTTCAAAGAAAAACATTTTCGTTCTCAGTTATTTAAGAGTCTTGCTATCATTTTTCTTAGTAGTCCAAGAGCAGTTTTCTGTAAATCACCCTGGTACTTGGAGGTACTCGGTTCGGGGGGTGGAAAATGTTCCTAAAGAAAATCGGATCAAATCACTATTTCACGTAAGTCAACTGTGTGCCGGGAAGCGAGATTGGTCTCACCGTCCCGTGTCACAAGCCAGAAAGCCGAGGCCCAGAGAGGTCAGGGACTCGCCGGGGGTCACACAGCCTGTCCGGAACCAGCGCGCTTCCGGCGAGGCCCCGCGGCCCAGCTGTGAGCACAGGCCGGTGAGTCAGTGCGAGAGGACGCTTCTCTCCGCGCTCGCGCCCCCATTCCCACGCCCTTCGGAGCGAGGTGCCAACTATCTCTTTAAGAAGGAAAGTGAAGACCAGCCGCTTACGCAGCCGCCTGCGAGCCGTGGACTGGCTGGTCCCTTCCGTCCGCCTCCCCCTCCCCTGCCTGCCCCTCCCTCCCGGCAGCCCCAGCCCCTGCGCGCACACAGTTAGCGCTTCCAGCAGGGACTCCGGAGAGCAGTCCGGCCGCCCTGGCGGGGCAGCCGAAGCCATGGAAGCCTCCGCAGGTGATGACGGGACCCTGGGGACCTCCGGGGTCACCCCCCCAGCGGCGCCCTGTGCAGCCCAGAGTGCCAAGTGCGGGGCGGGGGAGGGGAGACGCGGACCGCACCGGCGAGCAGAGCGAGGCAGCCTGCCCTCCCAGGTCCGCGGCCGTGGCTCGGCCCAGCTGTCAGCGGCCGAGGGCTCAGCTACCCGGGTGTCTCCGCCCGCATTCATCCGCATCTGTCTGTCCTTTTCCCCCCGCCGCCGCAGGTTGCTGATCAGGGCCAGGCAGCTGCAGCAGCGACTGCAGAGGCGCTGCGCCAAGCCGGGGCCGAAGTGGTGCGAGCCGGCCGAGCTGCGGAGGGCGAGTGGACACAGGTGAGGAGGCCGCTGCGGGCCAGGAGGGACCCGTGCGCTGCACCGCGGTGGGCGGCGGGCGGGGGCCGCTCGCTGCGGTAGAATCCTCTGAGGGCACCGGCCGAGGAGGGGTTAACTGTGACTCATTCTCACCCTCCTTCATTCCCCTACATCCTTCTAATTGCACCCCCCTGCCGCCACCACCACCCTGAAATTCACAACTAGGGGATGCTAATTGCAACAGGAAAGATGCCCAAGGTGGGCGATTAGGAGGGTTTTAGGGTCTACCCTATTCCCATTTGTTTTCCTCTTCCAGCATCTGGCAAACATTCAAGCCTCTTTTCTCTTGGAGAAGGAGAGGGGTACCTGGGGGTGGGAGAAGGATGGAACCCCACACCCAACCCAAGGTCAAGGGCCAGTGACTGCCTCCTTCCCCTAATCCCCCCTGCCCCTCCCCCCCAAGCATCAGGGCCCTGCAGTAGATCTGGAAAAAATGCCCATGACCTCTAGGGTGAGAGATCACGGCCTCAGGCCTCAGTCTCCCCGCAGCCTCCATGGGATGTGGAGCTGAGCTGTTCTCCTGGCCTGGCCGGGGAAGCCCCATATGTAGCCCCATCCTCGGCCCTGCAGATGAGGAGGGGCTGGTTACTCCTTGCCGGCTTCCTCTGTGAGCTCTGCCTGTCTGCAGGTGTGGGATGGGCTGGAGTTGCTCCCTGGGAAAAGGCGATCTCCGCAGGCCGGGCGGTGTGGGCAAAGTGCGGCAGACTGGGGTTCTGGTCCCTTTGCTTGCTGCTAGGCCACTAGTAGCCATTTTAAAATTCTTTAGGCGTGGGTGTCTTTCTGCTCCTCTGTTCAATGCAGGGGTTGGATTAGATGGTCCAGACAATGGTGATGTGCCACTCAAGCGGCTCTAACACCTCAGGGGGCCTCTGTCTTAAAGCAACCCAGGGTTTAAACTTGAGTGCGTGAAATAAGTAGGGTTTCCTCAGTTGATCGCTTTCAACTCTGGACTTCTCAGGTGAAACATTGACCTTGTGGGTCTCGTGGAACCGAAGGCGTCAGGCAGCCCTGGGCGGGCGTCCCTGTGCCCTCACTGGGGTAACCTGGGTCAAGTTACTTCCCTTCCCATGCGTCAGTTCCCTCACCTGTAAATCTGGAAGGAGGGTACATGTCTCAGAGGGCTGATGTCAGGGCTAAAGGAAACACTTAAAATTGCACCTGTGTCCAGCACGGAGTAGGTCCTCAGAGACAGGACGGGATTTGGCAGACAGACTGGGAAAAGAGGAGTGGCTTCTCGTAGTGCTCTCCCCACCCCACCCCACCCCTGCCAGTCTCTTCTCCACCCCTGTGGATGGTGCCCCTGCCCAGGGGCAGTGAATGCCAGGGTGTGCTGGGCTGCTGGGCTGAGGGCCTAGGAAGCAACCAGGAGACAGAAATGTTTCCACTGCAAGGGCTGTGACATCATTTTAGCAAATGATGGTCCCAAGGAGGCACATACAGCCCAGCACTGTCTTTGGAAAATCTTGGCTTCTGAGAGCAGAGTTCTGAAGAGAACAGCAGCCTCAGACTCCTGGGTGCCAGCGGAGGGGCAGGGACCAAGGCCTCCTGATGTCAGATGGCCCCGCGGCTGCTCCCTTACCCTCCCCGGGGTCTCACACGAGAACCTCCCCGAGACGAGGCAGCTGAGCTTTTGGTGTCCGGATTTTCTATTCTTTACCTTCACTCCTGCTCTCATCTTCAGCCTCGCCTTCACCCTTCCTTGCTCTGGCTTGTTCCACAGTCTGCCTCCTGACAGCACGGGAAAGAAGTCTCCCCGTGGGAAGGGGGGGACATTTTGCTGCTGTACCGTTTCGGCCAAAAGAAGTTGTGCTGTCTCCACCTGCCCTATGTCCTCCCTGCAGAGGCCCCCTTACTGCTCTGTGTCTCCAACCTCTAGTCCGTGGCTAGGCGCAAAGTAGGTCTTCAGTGAGTTTGAGGAAGTTACGCCCCTAAGCCAACTAGGTTAGGGAGCAGTTGCTGGGATGTGTTGTTGGAGGTGTGGGCGAGGGCACTTTGAAGCCCAGGGCATTGCGCACTTGTCGGTTGTCATTTCTGTTCTAATACTGTTGCCATCACGATCGCCAGCGGCCACCAGAGGTTTTACCCTCTCCTCAAGTCAGGTTCAAGGGGGCCAGATGTGCCTGGGAGAGTGGCATTGTCAGTAAGCCGATGGTGCTAATACGACCGTCAAGGGAAGACAATTGGGAAGAGTGATGCTGTCCACTTGCTGTGTTTGGGGCAGGGGGTGGCAGAGAAGAAGAATCAGTTGGTCAAAATGGATGCACAGTAGAAAATCAGAGGAGACCCAGGTCCCAAGTCTCACTCTGCAGCCTCATTGTGTGACCTTGGGCCAGTCTCACCTCCACTCTAGGCCTCTGGGCCTCCGGTTTTGGAGGACTGGATTACCTGATTCCTAAGGCCCCTTCTGGTTCTGACATTTGTTTCTAGTGGATTTTGTTGGGTAAACTTGAGACCAGTATTACTCTCGGTATCATTGATGGAGCGCCAGACCATGAGTATCGCAGGTAATCCTCATGACGAAGTGAACCCGGTTGAAAGGTGATGAGACCGAGGCTTAGAGAGGTCGACTCGCCTAAGGCTGCGCAGCTGGAAGCGGCAGAACTCCTGCCTGACCGCGGGTCTGTCTGACTCGGAAGAGCGTGCTGGCACGAAGGTTTCGCTGCCTCCCCGTCAGACCTCACTGTCAGCGCTGTGAGCTGTGTGCGCTGCACGTGTGCGCAGGGGTTTGAGAAGGGAAAGGGGTTTCCCCAAAGTGATCACCGCAGAGCACCGGCTGGGGGGAGAGTGCGTAAGTCAGTGCTGAAAAGCCCTCCTTTCACTGTGAGCCCTGCTGTACGCGTGGGTGGCGGGTGCCCCTTTACCACGGAGGGCGGCTAGGAGTGAATGACAGTCACGACAGACACACTGTCTGAGCCTGTCCTGTGCGTGGTGTTGTCTTACAGGGGTTCATTTTTTTTATTGCTCGGACGATCCCGTTATGTGGGCACTAGGATCTCACCCATTTTGCAATGAGAAAGCCGGGGCAGAGAGGCAAGGGGTCTGGCCCAGAGTCACATAGCTGATCTGTGGTGGAACCAGAGAAGGTTTTGCTGGAAGAGGGTGGTCTGCACTGGGAGTCGGGGAGACCTGTCAGCCTGGGCCGTCTCATTGACTGATCAGCTTTGCGGAAGCCAGTTCCCTCTGAATGTCGGTGCTCCCATCCCCCAAATGGGCCGATGCATCTACTGGCTCTAAAAGACCTGAATGCCACGCTGGCCCAGAAGAGGAGTGGAGGGGATTCCTTGTCTAGCTAAACATTAATCAGCATTTGTTTATTTGTCAGTCACGCCCTGGATAAGTGCACGGGATACAGGAAAGAGTAAGAGTTCACCTTCAGTTTAAGAAGCTTGCGGCTGACCAAGGAGACAAATACTTAAATGGTCTGGGAACTGTGATGACACTGACGTGGGGTGGAGTGGGTCAGGGAGAAGGGTGGTCCTTCCCACTCAGCAGTCAGGAAAGCTTTAGAGAGATGGCACCATTGTCAACCCCTTATTTTTGGTATTGCGTTTGTGTGTGATGATAATGAGGAGGAGGATACATGTTCTACCTAGCTTTGGATATTACCAAACAGTTTTAGAGACTCGTTGGTTGTTGAACCCAAAACGTGGCCGCAGACGTCTGGGGGACAACTCAGGCTCACTCTGTGGCACGTTCTGGTGGAGCTTCCATCTGTCCCGGTGGGTGCAAACCTTCTCAGCCCTACGTGCGTCCAGAGACAGGGCTCTGACATTCATTCCTCTGGGAAAGCCCGGTGGGCACCTGCAACCTCGCAGTAGGCTTGGGGACCTCTTCCTCACGTCTTTTCTCAGCCTTCCTCCTGTCTGCAGCACCCAGCCCGGAGAGGTGAAGGCATTACCCAGGATTACTCAGCAAGGCTGGGAGCACAGCTCTGGCCCGATGGGAATGGCGCTTCTCTGCTGTGTGCAGTCATTCTGCATCCAGGTCACCCGAGGCCTGAGGGGCCATCTCTGCACCGGATGGGCAACTCGTACTGGGGGAAGGTTTGACGCAGGTGCTGTGAAGCTTGAGCCCAGGGCCCTGGACAGGGAGACGCCTGTGTTCCCTTGGTTGCTTTGCACTTCTTAATAAACAGATGTTTATGAAGCGTTTATCACATGCTCTGCACTGTCCTCCAAATTGAGGTGCTGAGTCAACCAAGAGGGACTCTCTGGGAAGCAGCCCGGTGCAGTGGGAAGAGCCAGGGCTGGGGAGTTAGGGGACTCACCTGGGCTCTGCTGTCCCTGCCACAGGCTCCCTGGGTGGCCTGAAGCCCGGCCCTTATGTTTCCACACCTGCAAAATGAGAGTCAAAGGTGATCTCTAAGGGCTTTTCAAGCTCTGACTGGCTCACAATTCAGCAGCTCTTGCTTCTGTTCTGTAGCCACTTTAGGGGGTGCGGGAGTGGGGAGGACACTGATAACTGGATAACTGTAACTCGAGGAAGGATGAGATAACCACAACAAGAGGCGTGAACAAATGCTCTGTGGGGTTGCTGCAGGGAGAGAGCTTGGGAACGGCCGGTTCAAAAGCCGCCTCTTCGGCGTTAGGATGAGATGCAGATACAGGCGGTTCGAACCAGGAGGAGCAGCGGAAGCGTGCTGGCGTTCTGGGACAGGAGGGCTTCATAGCAGAGCGGTGGCCCCCAGACTTCAATTTCAAATATGCATACTTTGGGGGAGCTCTCCTAGGTTAGCCAGGGTTTTATTTTGCCTTATAAGAACATTCAAATGGCATTTATTAGCACCAGGGTCTAACCAGCCGAGCTACCTGGCCATCCTCGAGTGATGGTTGAGTCCTGTTTATTATCACCATCGTATAGTGAAAGAGCATTGTAACACCTCTGTCCCCAGAGAAAGAAGGCTAGGTAATTCCAGGGAAGGAAAAGGTACTCCTTCAATTGAATGCATTTTGCTTCATGAA